AGTAAAATATTAAGATAATTCGATTGAAAAAGGAAAAGAAAAAAAAATTAAATTAAATAAATAAAAATAAATCAAAAATTAAAGAGTGTGAAAGGAAAAAAGAAGCTAAGGAAAGAACAAATTGTTGTTATCGTCGGTACAGATAGAATCGTTTGTCATGCTTACAAAGAAGATAAGAAATATATTACGATATGTTGAATGAATCGAGTGAATGAATGGAAACATAGGAGAAAGAAAGATACGATAAATAGAATCTTCTAACAATAAGAGGGAAATTAATTTAACAATACATGTGTATATGTATGAGAGATAAAAAAAAAGAGGGAGAAAGAAAGAAGTAAAAACATGTGATATAAAACAGAAGAAAAAATAGAAAAAGAAACGAATTTAAGAAGAAGAGAATACGAATGAAAAAAAGAAGTAAAGGAACGAAGTAAGCTTGTGAAAGAGAGAAAGAGAGAGAGAGAGAGAGAGAGAGAGAGAGAGAGAGAGAGAGAAAGAGAGAGAGAAAATAAAATAGTAAAGGAGAAGGAAGAAGAGAGATGAAGAGAGAACACAACGCGCAGGCGGCACTCACTGCCAGGGTCACCTCTCGCACTCGTTCCATCAGACCGCATCTGCCCTCCGACGATCCTCCTCTTTGAAAGCTCAGTGCGCGACGAGCGCCGCGAAACCGCGAATCTCGATCTCGCAGATTTATCATTCGGCGACAATAATAAAGAAGAAAAATAAACTAATAAACAAACGTGAAAGGACGAACGTTCCTAGAAGATATCGAGGCGCCAATAATCTTGTTTAATTTTTCTCTTTTTTTTCTTTATTCCTCTTCGATCTTTGTTTCGTCTTTTTACTTTATTTTTTTTTTTTTTTTAATTTTTCTTTCCTTTTTTGTTCCTCTTTCTTCCATCGTTACTTCGATTTGATTCCATTCGATACGACTCGATACGATTAAATTCGATTCGATTCGATTCGATTCGATTCGATTCTCGTGCCAAGTGCGAAGTGAGAGACTCATAATCTAGAAAAAGAATGAGAGAAAAAGAAGAGGAGTTCGCTCGTTTCTAACTTCGGAAATCTGAAAATAAATCGTGTCGAAGACCCCGGAAAAGGAAAATAAACACTCGTATGCGGACAAGTGTGATGCTTTATTACATAGTATGGACCGGTATCGAGGAGGAGGAAACATTGATTGGATGAAAAGTGATAAGATTATTACTCATTAAACCGGAGAAAATGAGGAGAGAGACCATTTCAATAATCACTCCGGTACAATGTTCGATTCTTTACAATAGTTGCCAATTTCTCTTGATGTTTTTCATTGAAACATATCGCGTACGTGTACTAATTACTAGTGCATGTATGACGCTGAAGTATAATACTATCATAATACATGCGTATCTGTGAAAGTTTTGTGAATGAAAAGTTGTAGAACTTGACCTTGTGAAAACGTTACAAGGGAAGAAGGAAGGAGAAACTTTCATATTTATCGAGGATATAATTATCTAGGATAACGATCTATCGTACGACGCTCCGTACGTGATCCCTTATTTAATTCTATTTTGAATATCGACTGTTTTCTTCTTCTTTTCCTTTTTTTTCTTTCTCTTTCTTTTCTTTTTCTTTTTTCTTTTCTTTCTTTCTTTCTTTCTTCGTAGATGCATCTATTCGTGCATTCATCTTAAGATCAAAATAAAAAAATATAAAAATAATATAAAAATAAAAAAAATATAAAAATAAAAAAAATATAAAAAAATATAAAGTAAAATATAAAAAAAGAAAAAACTGGTTCGATCTTTCTTTACGTTTATAATAATGTCGTACTCAAAGCCATTCATTTCGTTGTCTGATTTATTTCGATTTAATTATCTATTAGATGAAAAAAAGAAAAAAAAAAAAGAAAAAATGGAAGAGATTTTCGCATTTTTATATTTATTTTCTAAGATTCGTCGATACGTTTCAAGAAAACGTACTAGTAATGCGCATTCGCGAATTTCTCGATGATAATTCGACGATATGAAAATTGCTGGCTTTTTCCTTTTTTCCATTTAATTAAACAAAAATTGGTCTAATGTCTTTAGCAATTTGCGCCGAGTTCATTTTGTTGAAAGGACAATTTTGTGAATTTGTATTTTCTTTTCTTTTTTTTTTTTAGTTTTTCTTTTTTTTCTTTTTTCTTCTTTCTTTTTTTTTTCTAGAAAAAAAGTAAAGAGAGTGATAACTTCATGCATCGAAAATCGAATCAGACACACGTAATATAGAAGTACTTCTGGAACATTAGGGCTGAAAGCATACGATTTGAAAGAATAGTGAGCACTTTTATTATAATGAGACTTCCATTAAGGAACTCATACTAGCGTACATTTAATCTTATAATTTGGAAGTCGTAGGAATATTAATAGGATTAAGGATGATGCACAAGAAAAAAATGTTATAATTTTTTACTTTTATGATTTTTATGTGACAGAATCGTGCAAATTTTTTTATTAGAACCAATTTAACCCTAATTAAAGTCGGACGGACATATAATTTTTTTTTATTTTTTTTTTTTTTGACGCATTAAAATTACAAGCGTAGAATACAAAAGAAAAAAGAATTAATGTTTTAATTTAGAATTATAATCAGTCGTTAAAACAATTATTTCAGATATCGGTAAATAAAAAAAAAATTGCTAATTTCTTTGATGGAATAAAAGTAAATTTTGCGTATTAGTTTAAAATAACTCCGATCCAAATATATCTACGCTTTCGTGCATTTCTACACAAAATTATAAATACAGTACCATTTATATTATTCGCTTCGTATTCCCTATTAGCATTTCAAATGACATATTTAATTCGTAATTTACAAGTGTCGATAAATTTACTATTAAGATTAAATTATTCGAAATCGATTAATCTTGATTAAGAATGATCCTGCTTATTAATGAAAAGTTTATAAAAAATAAATTTCAATGTAAAATAATTTTTTACGCTATATTATGAAATCGACGTAGAAAATTAAAAAATTTTCAAGGCGATCGCGTTTTTAAATATAAATTAATATACGTATGTATGCATGTTTGAAAATACATAATTAAACGGATAGATTTATTTCAAACAAGAATTTAAAAGGGAATTGAAACAAATAGAATGGACATGGATACGTTAACGAAATGACGATCCATGATAGATTGAAATCAATTCAATTATAACATCTCTGACTCAGAAAGAACCCTACAACGAGATCGGCGATAAGAGAGTTACGTCGCGTCCATTAAAGGAATTCGATTGTTACTGACTCAGTGCTATTCAATTCTGAAAACAACCTACGTAGAAGAAAGTGGGAGATAGAAAGAGAAAGAGAGAGAAAGAGAGAGATAGAGAAAGAGAGAGAAAGAGAGAGATAGAGAAAGAGAGAGAGAGAAACTGGAAACCTTGAGGAACGCGATCTACTTTAACGAGTTTTCGTAAATAGTTCACAAAACTAAAACGAAGCCGAATGTTTTAACGTTCTTTCTAAGGAGCAAGGATCCTCTTTGAAAACTAATCGCAGTTTCAAAACAACGAAATAAACGGCAGTTAATGCATTCGAGAAGGAAGATCTAGTCTCCTTTCTTTTGGAGAGATAACAGCGAACATCTGACGTTTGACTTAAGAAACTGCATTCGTTTTGAACGCATTGAAACTTCAGAGATCATCCGCACTTTTTCTTAAGAATGACGATTTAATTCTCTCTCTCACTCTGTCTCTCTCTCTCTCTCTCTCTCTCTCTGTTCTTTTCTTTTTTTTTTGTAATTAACGTGTCAAGGATACGCCGAAGAACATCTCTTTAACGATCTTCCTGTCTTTTGCAAAGGTGAGATTAATTTATTGCCGGTAAACTTTTATTTAAAGTCATTACAAAGCGAAGCATGATTTTGCCGATATACGTACTTGATACGTGAAAACAATAAACAACAACAACAACAGTATTATCACGTACTTAATTATTACCTATACAACTGTCACGTTGTAAATTCAAATTATATTTCCATACGTTTAATTTTCTCTATTTGTATACTATTTAAAATGTATTTCAATCTGCAAAAGCAATATACACAGTAATTGGTGATAATTAATCAGCCAGAGGACACCTATTTACGTATTTTTGCCCATAGGAAAAATGGGAATTTCCATTTTGATACACTCAATGACGTCAATGACGACGCATGATTTGCCCAATAGCACGATACTTTCTACTGTAAACAAAATCGATCGACGACATTTATTGATTTTTTTTTTCGTTATGGTTGTTTTGTTGTTATCGTTTTTTTCTTTATATATATATATATATATATATATATATAATATTTTCCGAACGAAATTAATGAATTCATTTATTTTTTCCCGCATAAAATTAACATCAATTAACGATGATGATAATAATACGCGTAATATCAACGTGAGAGACGTAATGCTTGGAATTCGCATAATATCTTAATGTGAGAGTATTATTGCATTAAAACTTAGATTTAAATCAATCGAATTATGATCTTCTTTTCTAATGGATATATCATACGAATGCGTATATAAATATTCATTAAAAGAGACAAATCGCTGATTTGTATCGTCTCTATTTATAAATTAAACGTAATTAACATCGATTAACTTTGATATTTAACATTGAAATGAATTAACGAAATAATTAAAATATATACGAATCTAACAATAGCTTTGAATTATCTAACAATAGCTCATTGAATTAATCATTTAGTATTTGAAATATATTTGAAATATATAAAAAGGAACTGTTATAAAAAAAGGTCATCTCGTTAAAAGTATTTTCGTTTAACGTGATTAACTAATACTGCATATCATAATATTTCTTTGAATCACGATGTAAAAGGAAAGCAAGAGAATATCAAAGTGGATGAAAAAAAACTTTGACCCTTTTCATTCCGTTTTCTTTTCCGACATTCAAACAAATGAGGGTGAACTGAACCTTTCCATTCTTTATATGGATGAGCAGTAGAGGGACGTATAAGGAAAAACAAAAAAAAAATATACATAAAAAAATAAAAAAAATATATTTTGGCCAAAAAAAAAAAAAAAAAGAATTGCGATATCATTCGAGGTACATTGATGAAATCAATAATTAGATATGAGCTGTAATATAAAGTAAACGTATCGATTTACTATCTTTAATGGAACGTCAGCGATAATATCTTAGATTTAAGTCAACCATAGGCACTGTCTCATAGTTTTTAAACAAACTCAACGCAGACATTTATCTTTTCTCTCTGCTTTTTTTTTTGTTTTCTTCATATTCTTCCTTTTCGTCTTCGTCTTCTTATTCTTCTTCCTTTTCTTCTTCTTCTTCTTCTTTCTGAGAAAAACAAAGACATGACGAATGAAGTAGGTATATAAACTATATGTTCTTCAGAAAAATACATTCTTTATATTCCTTTATTCTTTTTGAGGTAATATTACATGAAAAATATTTTTCAAATTTAACAAAGAACAACCCTTGATAAAATATACGACTATAGATGAATGAACCCCCACAGCTGACGCTTCTTCCGATAAATATCATGAATAGAAATTTATATACGTGAAATACTTCTTTTATACAGATGCCGATTTTTTTGAAATGAAATGGCCAAAATATTTTTTGATCCTTCTGCAACTTTCTAGCTTCATCTTACCCCGTAATGATAATAGTCATTCTTTCTCTCGTATTCTCTTGCTTTCTCTCTTTCTTCTCTCTCTCTCTCTCTCTCTCTCTCTCTCTCTCTCTCTCTTTCTCTCTCTACGTAAATAAAGAGAGATAAAGGAAATTCCTCTGAATATGGATTGCCACGTAAACATTTACAGTTGTTGGTGAGTATAAGCTAAAGCCAAGGGTTATCGTGGACGGATCAAGTATAACGACTGGCTCACCATTCATGGTGAAAGCTTTTTGTGAAAACTTTTTGCAAAAGACCATCTCTGTATATATATATATATATAAATATATATATATATATATACTACGATACGTACGTACATATGTATATCTATATTATATATATATATATATATATATATATATATATATAAATAAATGAAATAAAAACGAAATAAAAGTATTCAATGCAAAGCAATAACCAATTTCAGTATTATTATTGACATAAATAATATTTGACAATTTCCTATCGATATATATGTCATGAGAGAAAAGTAATAGAAGAGAGAAAGAAAGAGACAGGTAGAAAAAAGCAAGAAAATTTGGTGAAACGTTCGTAAATTTTACAAGTACGTTTCGGATATTGGATACGCAAATAGAACGAAACAACAGAACCAAACTTCTCCGATTGAATTTCCGAATAAAAAAAAAAAGAACCAAACAAAACCGTCCGTAGTACTTCGATGTCCTACACTCTCAGACGTATTTGATTTTCTAGTAGTTAGTAGATATATGTACATATATATATATATATATATGTATGTATGTATACATAGGACATCCTACGAAAAGCATTCTCTTTCATGAATGCAGCGTTTATAACGACATCCCTTTTCAAGAAAGTTATTATTGTTCATAACTAAAATAGAAACATTATTACAAAGTAAATTATTATACCGCATACGAAATAATCATTGCTAACATTAATGAAATAAAGAAGAAGCATTTTAATGAATCCACAAATGCATTGTAATTTCGAATTATTTGTAATACGAGTACGATTTACTGGACAATTAATACAAAATTAATTTAATCGAAGCATCGAAAAGTAACGATTTGCGTTTATCACAAAACAACATTTTTATGTGACATCAGTGTAAACTGCTTCCGCCTGTATATATTCATTTTAACAATTTTAAACATTAGAGTCGTCGACTCATTGCAGCAGCCCACGCGTTTAAATTAACCGCAATTACGTTTAGTTCCAAACTTAAATTAATTTTCATTCTGGTCATGGTGTTTACAAAAATATTATCGCAGCTTTAAATAAAAATGTTTATTTGGAAAGAATGTTTATTCTCTTTTTCTTTTTTTTTTTTTTTGGAAATTAGACAATTGTTTATATATTATTTATATATTGTTTATATATTGTTTATATATCAATATACAGTGATACGATGATTATAAGGAAAAATATTCCCGAAAGTATTTTCGAATAATATGTAATTACGTCTTATTACAAACTTGAATTGCTGTTTGCCTCTGCTTTAGTGGTTTTTAAAAAAAAATATCACTGGTAGAGTAGTGACCTTAAGTAGAGTAGAGTAGAGAGTAGTTAAACCTTAATAGCTTGAATAACTTTTTATATTGGCTTTTAGTGCTTTTTAAAAAATAATCACCAATAGCAAAGGATATCGCAAAACGTCGAAAAATATTGTCATTCGTACGGACAAAAACGACTTCCTTTTTTCTTTTCCATTGTTTTTATTTATTTTTTTTTTTTTGGTTTATCGAATCAGATTATTATAATATTATTTATATCTAAATATTGAGAAACCACATGATTATAAATAAAGCAGTCAATTAATTTTAAAGGATATTTTCAATTAAAACGAATAATGAGTTTTCTTACTTGTCTTGATCCCACGTTTTAAAATTTCTTCGTTGCTCGTTAAATCTTTTCTCATACTTTTACAAAAGGGTCGCAAAGATAGAAGAAGATAATTCTCTTCGTGACGTCTTTTTGTAAAGCAAATGTGCCACATCCGTCACGTCAATTTAAATGGTTTCTCAGAAATCTCACAGGATGAAGAACGAAGGAATAGGACGAAAAATTGGAGTGAAAATAGGAGATATGCATATACTTCGAATTCGTTCTCTCGTTCGATGATCTATCTTGAGGAAAAAAAAAAGGACAAAAAAACAAAATAAAAGAATAATAATAAGAAAAGAACAAAAAAAAGAATTCTTTTCATTTGCAGATAACATCGATATCATTTTTATTTCTATTCTTTCGTCTTAGGTTTTATAAAACGATATATGGCTATGTCTGAAAGAGATAGTCGTCGTGAACGACTCTGAATTTTTATTAAACTATATCTACTTTGTTATACCTGCATTATATTAAAAAAAAAAAAAAAAAAAAAAAAAATCTTCGTTGTGAAAAATAAAAAAGGATACTTAGTTAAATAAAAAAAGGATATTAAATTTCACGCTAATATAAAAAAAAAAAAGGAGAGAAAAAATTATGAAACGTGCGCATAAAGATACATAATTGAAATTCGAGAAATATTCTGATAAAAAATTACATTGACAAAAAAAATAGTTGATTGGTAATCGATCCAAAAAAAAAATATATATATATATATATACGATTGTAAATGAAGAAAAAGATTCCAAGATAACTCAGATATAATCTTGATAAAAATAATAAAGATGAATTTATACTTAGTTGATTTATTTCTCTCATAAATACGTCCATTGTTCGTTCGAAAAGAAGATTGTTGAATATCACCATCGTTATTGACTACTCTCTAAAAATACGTAAAGCTTCGAGCATGTCCCCTTCTCGCGTCTCTATTTCTCTCTCTTTCTATCTCTCTCTCTTTCTCTTTCTCTCTCTCTCTCTCTCTTTCTTTCTCTCTCTATACCTAAGTAGTATACTATAGTACCACTTGTCCAATTTTAACGCGCAAACACTGTCCACACTTTCCTACTCTTAACCGGGAGACAGTGTGTCCTTGATAATTGCGAAATTTGGACCGGGTCTCGTACTTATAATGTTGAGTCTTGTATAGATTCTAAACGTAAAAAGATATAAGAATACAACAATATTCGCCATTCATTACCTCAAATAAAAAAATTTTTAAAAATAAAAAAAAAATGAAAGAGAGAAGGAGAAAAAGAGAGAGAGAGAGAGAGAGAAAGAGAGAGAGAGAGAGAGAAAGAGAGAGATAACCAAGTGTCCTTTTGACCTTACATTTTTCTCATTCATTTCTTTTATAGGATCGTAATAATAATTTGTAATATTTCCTATTACAATGACGTTGTACAAAAGGAAATACGTACGTACTTTCGTAATACGTAAAAGTTGATATGATTAATCGATGATCGGTACCATCGTAGGAATAAAAATTACTAGGTTTCTTTAACGAAACAATTACTCATGTCGGTAACTGACGGGAGTAGCCTATCCCAGTGATAAAAGCGTATCATCAATAAGGAAGGCAACGAACTGAGGTGCGCTCTTTCTGATACCCGCGTCATCTTAGTTTAAAACGGTTCGTGCGTAATAATGACGAGACAAGAGTAGATTCGTAAAATGCGTCAACGACGCACACCGAAAATAATCGTTGTCCGGTCTTAGATATTTCTCTGCTCTAACATCCATGTCTGGATATCCCTCTAAAGAGTGAAAGCAGGCCTGATGTATGAGACGTATATCTGTTTATACGAAAATATACGAGAGATTCGGCATAGATTTGATAAGTCAGAAAGAAAAACAGAAAATGACTAAAGCATGATATATATATATATATATATATATATATATATATATATATATATATTTTCTTGAGAATAAAAATAATTGTAAGAATCTAACAGTCATCATTCGAACATTATTACTTACTTGATTCATTTCTCAAGAAGCATATAAGATTACTAACGTCGAGGACCATCGTAATCTTAAATTATTACATCTAACATTTCGAAAAACAAAAACAAGACGAATGTAACTGGTATTTCCGAATATACGATCTATTTAGAGTCGATCTTTTTTCTTTTTATTTTTTTTTATTTTTTTTTTTTTTTTTATCTTTTTATTCTTTTTTTTCTGGAATTTCTCGATACCGAAAGAGAAGTCCAAGGGCATCGAAAACAGCATAAAATATGGACGTTGTAAAAAAAGCTGCGAGACGATTATTCGCTGAACAATACTCGCTTGTTGTCAGATGGAGAAAATATTAAACTAAATAATAAACAAAAAAAAGAAAATATATATATATATAATAAAAAAGAGAATAACATCAAGCGACAAATTTTAAAGCGATTAAACACCCTATTTCTGTTTGAAACATCAAGTAAATTTCAAATGTAAAATATTATACGTCGACATCGAAATCATTATCTTTGATACTTTCGTCTTTATATTTGATAGTTAATGTTACTTAAGATAAAAAAAAATTGTATGTTATTAATAACGCACGATTTATGATTTCTTGAAAGTGACAGTATATTAGAGCTTACTAATCCTAATAGAAGTAATACTATAATTACATTAATCCGATAAATACAGTTAATTCGGATTAAAGTAGATTTTGCGGTCTATAATATGTCTTGTATAAATAATCGTAGCCGAAGAGAGAGAGAGAGATAGGGAGAGAGAGAAAGATAGAACACTATTGATTTTAATATTAAACTATAATCGATAGACGCTTAATAAGTCTCCTACTATAATTTACTATACAATATAGTCTTTTTATTTATAGATGCAAGATTTTTACTGCTTACTCTTACGACCTTATTGTTTATAGATTTTTACCAAGTAATACTTTTTAATGAAAGATAAATTAACTTTGACCTTTCTATATATATACTCGCGAATAAATAATTCGAACTAAAGACTGAAAAAATGAATCTCGTGATAAAAACAAAAAATTAAAATTCTCTCTAGTATTTATCTTTTCGCGTTTGTTATTATTCGTAAATTTTATCGCAAGATTCAGTTCTTGTTAAGCAACTCATTTCAACGACAATGTCGCGTGTTCGTTTTTTGTCGCAGAAATTGATCGTTATTATAAGACACGCACGTAAAACGGAATCATGCCATGTACGTAATTAAAAACAAAATTTCTAAGTTAATAACAACGTCGAATAATTACTAAGTATAATAAAAACGATGGACATTGTTGAGCTTCGAAATACAATAGTTATGATTTTGTTGAAAGAGAACAAAAGAAATGCCTAGATGATATTCAAAGAGATGAGTTACAACATATACATATGTATGTATGTAAATGTGAACTAAAATTCGAAAAAAGAAAAGAAAAAAAAGGAGTAAGAAGATATCGAAACATAAGCAATGTAGATTGCACATTGCCATCCCTTTTTTCTCTAGTTGACATCGATGCATAATAAATCAGCGAAGTGAAAGAATTGTAAATAATTCCATACCATTATTCTCTTATATTTTCTCTTCTTCGCTCGAACAGACTCTAATGAACTCTTATTTTTTATTTTACGCCTTTTCTTCTCTCTTTCTCTCTCTCTCTCTCTCTCTCTCTCTCTCTCTCTCTCTCTCTCTCTCTCTCTCTCACACACACACACTATTTGAAAAAAAAATCTCTAAATCCGACGTACATATAAATAAAATAAGCACGGTAAATAATATATATATTTTGATATATAATGAAGGATAACATAAGAAACGGAAGAATGTAAATTAACAATAGAAATCATTGAATGAACTGAAATGTAATTCATTGAAGCTTGAACCGACCTAAAGGCTCGTCCGACCATATTACCTCGTTATTGTGTTCAGTGATCATATTTTCATAACGTTATCCTTTCCATTATGATGATTTTTTTTCGATTTCGCACGAACGATTTTTACAAAATATTCATTAAAATTATATATATATATATATATATATATATATATATATATATATATAATCTTATCCTCGTTTCTCGATAATTCGTACTTTATTACATTCATCGAATTATTTTACGATTTCGAGGAAACATCCTAAAAATAAAATTGTCAAATTTTAAGTTCTTTATATGTGTTCAAACGTATTAGAACTACGTACATACGTATACATGCATATGTAGAAAGTGAAATACATGGATCAAAAATGAATTATTATGTTAACCAAAAATAAATATACATAGATACCACTAAGAGACTCATACGAAAAAAATAGATCTCCAATGATTTTCAAAGTCTAGGAATCGAAGTCGAGAAGCGTTAAAAGAGAGAAACAATTTTTCTTTTCTTTTTCTTTCTTTCTCTCTTTTTTGCTTTTTTTTGTTTTTGCTTTTTCTTCGAAAGAAATCAAAAACTCACCTTTGTCACAAATTCGCAGCTTCGTTCCACGAAGTAGATGAAGTATATATATATATATATATATATATATATATATATATATATATATATATATATATAAAGAAATATACTAATCTCTGTCTTGACTTATTACCACGTTCGAAACACTGCGTATAAACAATTTAAATATTTTCTCTCTTTCTTTTGAACGCACGTATACTGCCGCATTTCTTTTTTTTTTCTCTCTCTCTCTCTTTCTCGTAGACGGAGAAATCTTTTCTATCTAATAAAACGTGAATAGAATAATTATTTAAATAAAAAGATCGACATTTAAAAATTGATACGAACGAATATAATATTATTTAAATGATTCAGAGATATGATACGAGTACCCAAAGGAACATGCGAAATACACGAAGGTTAGCATCCAACTAACTTTGATTACATATTAGTTGCGTCCTTGATCATATATATTTATCTCAATTTATGAGGACATATGCCTTTGGGACTTGTAAAATTAAACTACCCAATGTAAACACAAAGTTATTAGAATATCGTTTATATGAACCGATGATTATAAAAGTGATCTAAGTCATTTCAGATATTACAAAATATGTTTTATCTCTTTCTCTCTCTCTCTCTTTTTCTCATGCCATTCTTAAAATTGTAAAATGACATATAAAAGGATATTATTATTATTATTAATTTTTTTCTTCCCTCAAAAATAATAAATATATTGCATACTTTTTCTATTCGTCATCAGAAAAAAAAAATTGTTAAATAATTCAAGCCCACAAAGTGTCTCAAAAGATAAAAAATATATGACCTAAACAATTATCATAATTATCGGCTCATGTGAAACTACGAATTAATGCAATGAGATTTATCTCTTACATTAAAATAAAAAAAAAAAAAAGAAAAAAAAATAAAAAGATTATGTAAAAGATTATGTACGAGCATGTCCTTGCATATTTCCCTGATCAAAGACATTTTCAATCACATTGATTGCTTTATCCAATTAAAATAACATTTTACTTACTTACAACGAATACTTCGTATGAAAAAACTGTTTAAACGAATCGATAACAAATTATGAAAGGAAAAAAAGAAAATAAAGAACGCCCTCGGCCGATATTAATCTCATTAGCACGCGAAAAGAACAGTCACGTGACCATTGAAACTTTCATATCAATTTCACATCAATTTTAGCCATCTTCGATAAAAATACAAATTGCCGCGGTTTTCTCTCTGGTTAATATAAAAATAAAATAAAATAAAATTTTCTGTTTCAGAATAAGAAAAAAAAAGATATTAATATCGAACCAACTTCTTGATATTTTCTTCCTTCGTTTCAAATCGATAATATATCTTTCGAATGAAATAATCGGAAACATGATCGATTGATTGATTAATTCTTTCTTTTTGAAATTTCGTAAAGAAAGCGAATAAAAATTTCGGAGAAAGAAAAGAAATTGGGGAGAAAAAGGAGAACCATCGATATGAAGGATTCAAGAAGAACAGAATGGTGACGTAATATGGATTCGAGGACAAGGATCGTTAAAAGAAATAGCGGTCAAAGAAAAAGAAGGAAAGGAAGCTGAAGTAGGAAGTGAACGAGTATATACCTAAGAAGAAAAATAGAAGAGTAAGAAAATAGGAGAACGTAAACAAAAGAAAAAAAGAAAATCGATAAGAAAATGATGGAAACAACTACGGTTTATTATCATAATCGTTCATATATTCAGAATGATACGAGCGACGATGTTCCTATGGAATGTTATCAAAAAATCAATGCTACTGGTCTCTTTGATTTTATCATATACGGTGTACTCATAAATTTCATAGGTCTCTTTGGTATTTTAGGAAACACTATCTCGATGATTGTACTTTCGAGACCTCAAATGAAATCGTCGATTAATTATCTTCTGATTGGATTAGCAAGTTGCGATACTCTTCTTATCATTAGCTCGGTAAGTTGTAATTTTAGTGAATATTAATGTTTCAATTCAAATATAATTCTCGATAAGATAATATCAATTATTAATTTAATCGACAAGAAACAAAGGCGCGGTTTAAACACTTGCAGTTCGCCACAACTATTGATCGCCAATAAATTTAGAAATCAGCTGAATTAATGGATGGAAAAATATTAAATATTTTCCTCAAATGTCAACAAAATGTTTATTTATATGCAATTGAAATATAATATATTTGCATAGCGATTGAAATATTTCCTTTTTATCGCCAACTTTTCTCGATGATTTTTTTTTTCTCACATTTAACATTAAATAACAACGAAAGATTTAATTACGTTCGTTTGATTTTATTGATTTCTAAAATAAAAACATTAAAAAAAAAAAAAGGAAAAAAAAAGAAAGAAAGAAATAATAGATACCGGAGTGAAATGTTCAAATTACAAATCAACGTGATTTTCTTTCGATGATAATTTTTGATAGTTAAAGAATTAAATTATCAGACATATTTATGTCAAAATTACGATCTCAAATTATACGATATAATCTGTATGTTAAATATAAATCCTTTTTTTTTCTCATGTAGATACTTATTTTTGGATTACCATCGATTTACATTTACACCGGCTATCTTTTTAATTATCAATTCTTCGTTTATCCGAAAATAGTCAAATATTTATATCCAATATCGTGCACAGCGCATATAGCAACGGTGTATTTAACGTTAACCGTAACAATAGAACGATACATTGCCGTTTGTCATCCACTCAAAGCAAGATCATTTTGCACATGTGGTCGTGCACGTTTAGCATTTCTAAGCATCGTAACTTTCGCAACGATCTACAATATTCCAAAGTGAGTAAAATAAAAGGAAGAAAATCGCGAAATTTTTGTTTTTTTTCTCTCTCTCTCTCTCTCTCTCTCTATAGAACAATATTTTAATATAATTTTTATATAAATTTCTCTTCAGATTTTTGGAAATAGAAATCTACACCGAGAAGCATTGGAAATACAACGTTGTCATATATTGTTTACGTCCAGCATCTTTAAGAGATAACAATATTTACGTAACCATATACGTCCATTGGATGTATTTTTTTGTGTATTATACCATTCCTTTATTCGCTTTAATCATTTTCAACACGGCTATTTATCGACGGGTAAGTTTTCGTCTCTCTTTCTCTTTCTCTCTTTCTCTCTCTTTCTCTCTCTCTCTCTCTCTATATATATATATATATATATATATATATATGCTTTATCATAATTGACACGTGCATTGAAAAAGAATTTCTAAGATCGAGTTAAAGCGAATATACTTTTGACGATATTTCGAATGACCTTATGACCCAAATAGTAAGGCAAAGAATAAAAAGCATAAGTATGACGAAGATAAGAGAAATCCCGAGATAAAAGTTTCTTTTCCTTCTTCTTTTTTTTTCTTCTTTTTTTTTTTGTGAAACAGTTTGCGGAAAGGTAAAATTGTGAAAATGAAGAAACAATGAGAACGATCCGAGTGTTAACTTGGATCGAGATAAGAATCAATGTTATTTCTTTCTCTTTTCATCTCTTTTGCTATCTCGTTTTCTCATAGAAATATATATTCAAAATTTGTAATGTTTCTTTATATTACTACTTAGTCAAATATTTATGCAAATCGATCAAAAAAGAGATATTTCGTATAAAGAAATGAAAAAATTTGCAAAGATATATTCTTTGTAGTATCCTCGGCTACCGCGTATTCGATATCTTTTATCGTTGATATTAAAATGATTTATAAAATAAGGTAAGGATAGTAACGTAGTAAAATGATCGAGACAAAATTTCTCGAACGTACGTGACATTTTTTATTTACAAGATACATGTAAGGACATACACGTGTGGATCGCACATCTATCATAAAATTTATGAATTTAATCAAATTTCTAACGTGTCCTTTTTTTTTTACATTATTGCATATCTTGACATATGGCATACTTACGATCTTTTTCTATCATTTTTTTTTTTCTTAACGTCCAATATATGTACGTATTATTTAAAAATATTTATTGATACAAATGCAATATTAATTCGAAGGTAATTGTAGATTTGTAATTTAAATATCAAATGAACTATCTTATTCCAAGATGAATGCGCAAATTCGGATAACGGCGAAAGGAAATACTAAAAGCAAAAAAAAAAAAGAAAATCGCAAAACGTAAATCGAAGAATATATATTAGAAAATCCAACGCAATAAAGTTATGACTCGTTTGGAGTCACTTAAAGAAGATATATTTTGTTCTTTCCTGTCTGTTGCTTTTATACTCAAATAATATGACTTGTTTACGAGACAAAATTGTATGCAAGGAGTAGACATTTCAAAATAAAAGAGAGAGAGAGAGTGAGAGAGAGAGAGAGAGAGAGAGAGAGAGAGAGAGAAAGACACAGACAGAAAGACAAATAACAAACGTTATGACAAGGATGTCTCTCTTTTGTCAACGCAAAAGGAAATGTTTCTTATCGATTATTAAATATGTAATATTTTATATTTCGCAGGTCAGGAAAGCGAACAGGGATTTGCAACAACTGACGCATCATCAAAGACGAGAAATTGGATTGGCAACGATGTTACTTTGTGTCGTAATCGTCTTCGTTATATGCAATATTCTACCCCTTACCTCAAATATATTCGAGACTTTTATCTACGATCCACCCCGGTGGTTAGTTCAAGTTGGTAACCTGTTGGTGACTATAAATAGCAGCATCAATTTTATAATATATGTGATATTCGGAAGAAAATTTAAACGAATATTTATGAAACTTTTTTGTGGTTCGGGCATATTATTTGGCCGTGATAGAGACAGTCCCGAATTTCAAACCCATGATGAGTCGAGCGTAACGAACGTTTCGAATATGACAAATATAGAGTTAAGAAATTCTATTAGACATAATCATCTAAATAGGACAAATACCATTGGTAGAAACAATAATGTTCACATTACAAATGGTGGAACTAGACAAAGCATTAGATTATCGAATAGACCAAACAGTCCAGGTACTCTTGTTTATTATCCCGCTTGTAATTCAATGAGAAATCTAAACAAAGTCAATAAAATTTCTTCCGATCAAAATGGCTGGAATAAAAATAATAATAACGATACTCTTATGTAGCTTTTTGTTTTTTAATTCTATTCGAATATGCTATGTCTAAATAAAGATATTATTATGTTTATGAAAATCTCACTTTTATCTTCATTGTATAATATAGGTATATTTAATAAAAAAGGGCAGTCAATTTCAACAAAAAATAATTAAAATTAACAATCATTATCATTGAAATTATGACAGTGTCATCGTACGATTATATTCGAACGTGACTTATGACAAAAATGTCATTTAATCTTTTCTAAATTCTTTTGTTACTCAAATAATTAATAAAAAAAAACCTTCTTACGTCATTATTATTATACAACTATCGAATTGTTTATGTAGCGTTATGTTAATGCATTTGTTAAAATAGATATACGTATTCGAGTACAATGGGCTGCCTTGTATAATATTTTATGCACTAAAAATATTTCATATCGATAAAAATCATAACTCTTTTTTATTCATAATCTCAAACACAATCTTTATGAATTTTGCCGATAATAAAAACAGTATTATTTATATTTATTCATCATTTAACTCATTGGATATATCATTGCATTAATATAAAGCTATTAATTTTATGTAAAAATTTCATAGATAAAAATCTCCTATTTATTCATATTTTCTAAAATGTTCATATCTTACTACGGTTATCGTTTTTGTAATGTTGTAAATATTACATTTAAATGATCATGTATTTTTAAGATAATGAAAAACGAGACTGTATGTTAGAGAAATAGCTAGTAATGCGGATATTTTTAAATAAGTGCTATGTAAATATAGCGATTATATATATAGGATTAAAAATTATATATATATATATATATATATATATATATATATATATGTAAGTATATATTCCATGTATATTTATAAATTACACACGACGTTGCTAGAAAGTGTTCCAAAAGCAGAATATTTGTACAAAAATCTATAATATCTAATAACATCTATAACACTAAATGAAAAAGACTATTATGAAGAATATTATAAATTAAATATATATATCATCAAATGAAATATTGATTAAACTCTATTTGTGATTCGCAACGAATTTTAAAATTATATTTTCAATGGTACATCTATATAATATTTAATAATACATAACATTAAACAATGATAAACTTTATTTGTAATCAAAACGTTAAATCTAATTCATTAATAAAAATCAAAGAAATGTACATATACATATAATTATATGTTAATCTAACATCACGAATTCCTGCAAAACGAAGATATAAATTATTAAATTATTTCATTTGTTTTGTTAATACAATTAGATTCTTTAGATCTAATCAGATTCTCAATTATGCTAAAAATTAAAATAATTGTCGATATTTGAAATATCTATCTTATCATTCGTAATTATATTATTCGACATAATCTAAAAGAAAAACAACATAATCTATTTAAATGTTTTGTCCTCCAATTTTTAAGATATCACTTAAAATTAGAATTAAGTGGAGGGAAAAAATGCGCTCTCGTAATTATATAATAAAATTATGTAACATGCTGATATATTAAATTCTAATCATACAAAATTTCTATAAAATTATTTACATTTACATATACATATACATACACATATATATGTATATATATATGTCTACATTCAATAAACCATAATTATATATATTTCTACAAATAGATACATAAATACATAGAAAATCCAAATGATGCGACTTTTATGCAATTAATTAAATTTTCGTATATGATTTTTTCTTTTTCGTTTTCATGAAATATTTGTCATTGCTTTTTGTTATTCTTAAGTTCGAATATTAATATGTTTAAGATAATATGATTTTATATCAAATAAAAATGTATTTTAAGTTGAGGGTAAACGTATGCACACATGTAAATATATATAATTATTTTTTTCAATTTAGCCATACTTATATAATAAATTATATGTAAATAATAATTAAAGATAATCTATCAATAAATAATTATTTTTTATTCTTAGGCCATAGATACATATATATTTTTCTTTTCTTTTTCCAATAAAGAACTTCTAAAGTATCTCAACATAGTATTTGATCTAGCTGTCAAAGATCTATCTTTTAAAAAATCTTAATAACACAATCCATATTGAACATAAAATTACAATTATATTGATTAAATATATTTATTTGTAAGAAATTTATAATACTAATAAAAGCAATTTGAAAATATTATATCAATTTCAAAGAAACATTTATACTAAAAATATACTATGGAAGAAATAATCGAAATTGTAACATTGCAAGGCTTGCATCTATTAATGCATACAATAATATTAAATAGATAACTGAAAATATAAAGGACACAGATTATAAATTGTTTACTACATTTTTATTAAGTAAATAGCACACCTAATTTATGGACAAAATCATTATGTAAGATGATTATTTGTCTTCATTTTTTTATTTTGCCACTTCTTTCTTTGGTTTGAGATAATAGTAAGCTGAAATTAGAGCTACAAGAGCGTACGTTGTTTTAGCTACCTATAAAATCCAAAATTATATTTATTTCATATTTCAATATAATAAATTTTTGTAATGTAGATGTTCGAAAATATCAGTTTTAAAAGACAGAAATGATGTTGAGGTTACTTACATTGGCTCGTCCTTGTATCGTCACACTATTAAAATATTTTGAAAAACCTTTCAAGTTTTCTCCTTCTTTGTTTATTTTATCAGCCATTTTGTTATTATAAATAAATTTCGTAAATTTTCAGAATAAACGAAGCAATATTAAAAATTTGAATATTAAACAAGCAAAACCGTCTGCTACGACGTGCTTGCTCACATTACTTATAGCTGGCTGTATAGAATACGTAGTAGTATCGTTATTATAACAAAATTCCGATAGATGTCATCGTTTCCGGTTATAGGTTAATCATTTGAACACTCAGTTATTGATTTAAATAGATTATTTTTTATATTTTAAATTAATTTGACTTGAAAATGTTATTTTTAGAATTATTATGATTATAATAAAAAAATTAAAGTCATTATAGGAATATTTTGATTATAAATAACACATTTTTTAAATATAATAATATATTCTCATTCGGTATTTAAATTTTATTATTAGTATTATAAAAATAAAAAAATATATATATTTTTTTTTTATTAATAGCACAACTCTTTGTATTGGATATCCTGTCTAATACATGTCATTTGTATATTTTCTATATACAAGTTGTAAACAAAATATTTTTTCATACTATCCTAAGACCAACATTAACATATTAAAAAATAATTTGTCTTACACATACTATCTATTTATAATTACCTATTGTAAGTAAATTTATAATTTATTACCTAATTTATTACTTAATTCAATTTTACATTAATTCAATTAATGTATTGTGATTATCAGATTAATGTATTCTGATGATCATTATTAAGTTCTGTTTAATGTTCATTTATCAATTCTTTTTTGCACAAAATGTTTTAACTGTCCATAAAATCTAATCAAAATCTGAAAGATTAGAGGCATTATAAAGATTATAGATAATAGGCTGATTATTATATAACAATTATGATTACAAAACATCACTTACCCATACTTTCTGTAAAATTGAATTTCTTCTAAATCCTGTTGTTATATTAACTTTATTTACTTCTTCTGATGTAACAATTTTTAGTTTTATAAGAACTGTAATAATAGATTTTAAAGGCATCAAGTGAATATTATTAATCCTGTTTGCTTTATCTCGAGATACATTTAACAGCATTCTAAAATAAAAATAAAACAGAAATTATAAAACTTTTTGTATTATAAATAATATAATAACAATAATAATTTTTACAGACTAATGTTATCACATGTATGTAATAATTTTTACAAAATTATGTACTCACTTATCGAGTTGAAAAAATGCAGTTAGACTATCTAATCTATTGATTTTTTTAAAATTGATATTTAAATGACAAATTTGCAATTGTTTATAATATTCTGAAACTGTTGTATAAGTAGTAAATGCTTCTACAAAATCGTTAGTTAATAACCATCCTTCATTTTCAAAATGAAATATGCATAATTTTTGATTTGTTATTTCTGTGTAAATTATATATAAAAAAAAAAAAATTATTTATATAAAAATCAAATCTATATCAAAAATATAAAGATTTGAATACAAACCTGCTATTCGAAAAAAAATCTTTGCTAATCCCTTATTAGTACTTATTAAATATTCATAATAAGGAATATTTATTTTTTCATTAGTAATTTTTTCTTCATTTGCATTATGTTCATTTTCTACATGCTGTTCCTCACAATTGATATCATTTGAATATGTATTAATTTGAAACTTTCCCTTGTCAATTTGAAAATCTAAATTATTTTCTGTAGGACAATTAAAATATTTTGTATGATCATATATATGTTCTCTATATGGAAAACTTGTTAACTCTGAATCCAAATTTTTAATTGGCTCCTCATGATTAGTATTATCTACGGTTGCTTGGAACTGTTGATCTATATTTACTAATTTTATTGAATTAATCAATGATTGATTTGTATAATTTTCATTCTGAATATTTACTTGTGATGACATTGTATTCTCTGTATCTTTGATCCAAGTTCGTGTAGAAATATTTGCTAATCTTTGTGAATTATTAAGTTTTGATTCTTTAATATCTTTTCCATCTAACAAATTTGAATACATCACTGAGTTAGATATAATATTTAATTTATCAAATCTCGGAAATTCTTCGTCTGCTATCGATAATTTATTTATTGGTAATGAAAATTTTGGATTAATTAATTGTTCTATTTTATTATTTTTCAATGATGTAGAATAATTATTAGAAGATTGAAAATAATCATTTTCAGAAAATAATGATATATTAGAGTTTCCATTTGATGTTTCAAATTCTTGTTTAAAATGGAAATCACTTTTTATACTTTGTAGATTATCTACAAATCTATCTTCAGATTGAAAAGTCATATCTTCCTTATTTTTGAATAAAGAATATGGATTAGTATTATTAGTTGATATAAATTCTGGATAGAAAGAATCATATATACAGTTAGAAGTAAATGGTGTATAATCGTTGTATTGTATCATTGATCTACGATCATGTGTATTATTAATTTCAATATAATTTTTATCAAAATTAGTACAATCTAATGAATAATATTTCTCTACTATATCAAGGTTTTCATTCTCTACTTGAACTACATTTGAGTCTTTGTAATCTTTCAATTTTAATAATATTTTGAAAGGATTGGTTTCATTAAATTCATTATATATTATTTCATTTTTTAGTACTGATCCCAATGCATTAAACTGATCGTTTTTGTTATCTTTAAAATCATTCTGATATGGGAAAGCAGATATATTCGTTTTAAATTCATTTATAGCTGATCTTCCATTGGATGAATCTGTAATAGCACTTATATTTTCTCCCATAAAAAGAGATTGGATACATGGAACTTGTGGTTTAGAATTTGAAGTAATACCATTCATTTCATTTATTTCTTCCAATTGTACTTTGTTTATGTTATTGTCATTAATTTCTGAATGTTTAGTAGTAACATAATCATTATTATTTGCAAATGAAGGTACAGATATTCCACTACTTTTGTTAGAACTAGCATCATTTGAAATATTATTAAAACAGTTTCCTGGTTTTGATATTAGTAAAGATGATATATCTTCTTTTGAAATTATATTCTTCAAAAATTCAGAAGCATAAAGTAAACGTTCCTCATAACTTTGTTTTATTTCACTTTCTGATGAATGAATGTTAACAGAAGTTGAATCTATTTTTCCAAGAAGAATATTAAACATAGTTATTATTTGCATTTGAAATCTTTGATTTGTCTTCCAAATTTGCATAAACATTTGTGGTGATAAAATATTAGTAAAATTCTTCTGGTTATTTACATCTTCCAAGAAAGGATTGGTAGATGATGGTTTTTTTATATTTGATTGTATATCCTCACCATTGCATTCACCATTGTATTCATTTAAAAATGGATTATTTATTAACAAATTGAATGATTCAGTAGATAATGATGAATTAGGCAGTATTTCAACTGTTTTTTCACACAACGTACTTTGGGGTGATATAAGGGGAATGTTCATCAAACTTTCTATACAGTTTTTATCATTCTCTATTGTAGGAGTAATGCAATCCTTTCCATAACATTTCTCTGAGGCATAAAGTAAATTTTCCTCAACAAATAACATTAAATTACTCATATCGACTACATCACCCTATAGATTACAAAAAAAAATCTTAGATTAATACTTCTAACTTAATTGACATAAGAGAAATAATGCTAATGCAAATAAGTTATTTTGGGAAAAATTATCACCTTATGAGAAATTGTCATCTATTTTAATTAAATATTGGAAGAATAAATGAGACATAATAATTTCGTTATAAAAATATCTTTATTTTTTAAACATATAAAATTCTATTACATATAAAGGTTGTACATTTTTCCCAAATTTTATAAAAAAAATAATATAATTTTTTACATTTAGATATGTATCTATTTTGAATATCAACATTTTAACAAATTTTATTGAACAATAATGTTAATGATTCTACTCTACCTTGTAATTTATAATGTACATTATCTACATCCATAGCATTTTTATCTTTATTCACATCTACTTTTGCTAATATCTGATTTCACATATTTAAATTTTCTTTTTTGTTAGTTAAATACAATAAATGTTATTGTATTTAACTAACAAAATTTTAATTTTAATTTTAATTTTAATTTTAATTGAGTAATTCATTTAAAGATTTAATATTACTTTATAAAATATCTCCAGTATTTTCAATCATTTTCGTTTTTAATATATGAGATTCTAAATAATCTTTACAATTATCTAATTGTTAATTATTGTAATTTATATCTATCATCACATTCAATAATTTATCTGACTTATTGTCGTTTATTTCTGTAATTTGAATCAGCTCATCAACATTTTTAATTAACTATTTTTTACTTAACATTTTCAAATTTGACAGAAAAGAGTCTCCAAGAAAATCATTCATATTACCTTCAATACTCCATTCATCGCTGCTAAATGACAAATCAATATCATCAAATACAGGTATTGTTTTTTCATTTGTACTTTCAAACATTAATTCTTCTAATTTTTCAGAATTAACTGAAATTTTATTATCTGTTACATGTGTGACATTGTCACTAACATTATCCAAGTGTTCTTCTTTTTGTAATTTATTCAGTTCATCTTTCTGTTTTACAATATTCGATTGTATTAATGATATTGAAGAGTCTAATGCTTGATCAATATTCTCTTTTACTTCATTTACATTGTCCGAAATTTTTAAACAATCTATATCACTTAACAAAATGCTTTCAGCATCTTTAATCATTTTCATTTCTGATATCTGAGATTCTAAATTATCTTTACAGTTGTCATTATTGCAATTTATATCTTTCATCACATTCAATGATTTATCTGATCCATTTTCATTTATTTCTTTAATTTGCAACCTCTCATCATCATTTTCAATTATTTGATTAATATTTGTATTTGGGTGAATAGAATTTCCAAAAACATCATCTATGTTACCTTCAATATTGCATTCATTGTTGTCACATTGTAGATTATTATTATTAGATGTTAATATGATTTCTTTAATTACATTTTCAGTTGATTTATGCAATTCCACGTATTCAGGGCATTGCTGTTCAATTTTTGAGAATGATTGTGATTGAGATGTAATTTTTATTGAATTATTTTCCTTGAGATCTTCATGATAAATCAAATTAGATATTTCATCATTTGTATTAATCTCTAATGTGTTATCTAATACTTCTGTTTTTGTTTCATTATTACTATCACAATTTTTAGAATAGTCATTTGAGTCCAATTTTGCATCTTCATTAGATTTATTGGAGACTTGCATTAAAGTATTATAAGTTTCACATATAGAATCTCTTTTTTCATTAATTTCAGTCATATCAGAAGAATCTTGTATATTACGTGACATACTGTTTTCAACATTTGATATATTCGATTTATTAGTTGTTAATTGTTCAGTTTGATTTAATGAATCACTTATATTGTGTAATGTATTTACAGAAGATTTATCATTTGTACAGTCTCTATTTAACCTTAATTTTGAGAGAATTATTTCTGATACGCCTATTTCTATATTTTGTAAATTAATATTACTTTTATATTTATTAATTAATTTGAAATTATCATTATTTGTAATGATATTATCATCAGGTGATGTATCATAATCCTGATAATTCAATTGTAAATCCAGACTGAGATTAATTGCATTTATGAAACATTCCTTTGGCAAATGTATGTCTTTATGTATCTCTTCCTTTTGCTGAGTGCATTTTTCAATATCCATTTCACTTTTTTTTATAATATTTGTACAATTCTTTTTAATATTATAATTTTCTTGTTTTTCTGGCTTAGTTGCCGAAAATATACAATTTGAACTATCTATTTCTTCTAATTCTGTTTTAGATTCATTTTTTTTCTTAGACATGATTTTTTTAGAATTTTCATTTCTTATAGTAGATTGTGTAATATTTGAAACACATTCTGATGTTTCTAAAGTTAACTGCCTTTTATCAAATTTTCCTTTATAATCAGAATTTGATAAAACTTTAGGATCAGAATGAAATTGTTTGTTATTTTCTGATATTTCTAAGAAATTATTTAATCCTTTAGGTACTTCAGAGTGACTACTTTGAATGGAATTATTACTTGACTCTTTCGAACGTTGAGCACAATTTTTAGAGACATTAGAAACAAGACTATTTCGACGATTATTGCTTAAAGATGCAGATAATGGACAATATAAATTTTTATATAAATTTTTTATTAATTCAATTGCTAGAACTGATGTTTCACTAGTTTTCGTAATATCTGATGTAGAACTGTTAAGATCTTCAGAATTTTTTTTGTAATGCCCTTGACATTTCAAATAATAATAAAATGGAAAATTTTGAGGTCTTATACGAACCATTTGTCCATGTACTGCCAAATTTTGATGAACCATCCAATCATTGATATGTACATCCTCTTCTTCCATTGTATCGGTCAAAGTTACCAACATAGAATTATTCTAAATCAAGAATTATATAAATTACGATATTAATAAATATATTAAATTTATAATTAAGTTCATTAATTAAGATTAATATTTTTTACAATATAGTAACTATATTGTTTACCTCTGGATCAGTTGATACTATAGTTGCAATAAGAGGTTTAGTACAAGTTTTTTCAGCAAATTCATAAGTAACACCCTTAGACCATTGCTCTCCATTATGTGGTTTAATATTGTACAGACCACATGGTATTGCTTGAGCTGGTAAATATGAAAATAATCTATGTAGATAATATATTTCCTCAGGAGGATAAGTTTTTAATGTTCCATAATCATAGAACATTACCTGTTTAAGAACAAGTTAAATTTCAATTAATTTTTTTCTAATGATAAATAATTTTCTGAATTCTACTACTTACAGTTATTTGCAAATCAGGTTTAACAGTTTTAATTATCCCTCTGTGCCATATATCATTATATTTACATGCACAGTTTAAACCTTTTTCAAGTACAACAGGAGGAATTTTATAATTCGTGAATTTTTCTTGATAAAATTTACTATAAAAAAAAAAAAAAAAAAACGTGAAATATATTTACACAAGGAGTATATGATTTCTATGTAATATATAATACATAATAAAATAACTCACTGAATATCTTCCATTAGTTTATTAAAAAGTTTTTTTTTCTTACGAAGTTGTATCCAAAATAATGATGGTGTAAAGACTTCTTCAACAAAAATTTCTATGTATGGCTGTGTTATACTTTCTAAATCCGTTACATTTATTTGCCCTACACATTCTCCTATAATCATTACCCCTTCTGGCATTAATTTATTAGATGTATCGCTTGACTAAAAAAGAATATTATATATTTTATATAATCTATATATTTACAAGCTATAATACATTCAAATATAACTTACTACTACAACAGGTAAAGCCTCTATTTCATCTTCTTCTAAATATGATTGAGTATATAGTTCAGCTACATTTTGAAATTTCGTTTTATTAATTGTTTTTGTATCAGACAATTTAATTTTTGCATCATAAAGTATAAAATCCGTCGATGGACGAAATTGTTTACATTGAAAGATATCTGGCAAACATGATGCAAATTCTCGTACACTATTGAAACCTAATTCAATATAATTCAAAGATACATTATATTCTTCCATATATTTTTCAGGAAGTTCAGCACACCAAATACCATTTGGATATTTTTGAATAAGTTTTTCTAATCGAAATCTTATTCTATCACTTATAAGGAGTTTTATATCTTCGTTATCTAAGTAAGTAACATCATCTTGTAATGTTTTGAAAGGAGTCTGTAAATTAACATCGTTCTCTGAATTATTATGTTTAATTTCCTCGTTATCAAATCTAGATTTATCATTAAGCTTATTATCTTGATTATTAAATCTAGATACAGTCTCTTGTATAAACATAGAAATAGTTTGTTTCTTGTTCGAGATTTTTTTTTTATTTCCACTATTGTTTCGCAACTTCGAATTAACATATGTAATACTGTTTTCATTCTCAATATCCGATTCTACATTAGAATCAGTTTCCCCACTAACAATATACTTAGATAATACCACAGAATCTTCAGATTCTAGATTAACTTTTTTTCCCTTGGATAACATTTTTTTAGATATAAATTGATCTGATATAGATTTTGTCTTTTTCTTCCATGATAAGATTCGATTGCCTTTAATAAATAACTCGTGCGACAAACTTTTTATTTGCTCATCAAGATCCATAACAGATATATTTATACATGGTAATTTATCATTGACATATTGTAAGATATATTCTTTATTAATACCATTTGGATTTTGTTTAACCATAGATATTATATTACTCAAAATTTCTGCAGGTATATGAACTCTCGGAGTTGTTGTCTTTGGATAATAATAGCTAGGTCTGTAAGTTCTCCGTACGTGGCTTTGTTTTTTTAATGATATTTTTTGTCGAGCTACCAATGAGCTAACATGTTTGGATTTTTCAGAAGCAACACCTCGAACATAATATATACCATTTAATCTTTCAAGCGATACATATTTTGGCATGCTTTTTAGATAATCCAACAATGTAATATACCCAAATTCTTTCCATGGTATAGATTCACCTTCCTGATCTTGATAATCTTTAGCAAGTTCTCCCAAAGGTATTGCATCCTTTCGGGTAACTAACAAGGATAATATTATCTTTTGTACATCCTCACATCTTCCAGAAATTTCCTGCATATTAAATTTTTTTTCCTTTTTTTCGTTTTTTTCGGTTTTTTTTTTATTAACAATATTGATAATGCACAACTTTCGCGAAAACAATAGGTATTATTTATCTGTTATTATTAATTTTATCGGTAATAATCAGCGTGGGTTGACATGACTTTTTCAATTGTTACCTACTTTTCATAATAAACAGATTGTAAATATATATTGTTAATATATTATAATTAATAACAATTATAATTTATATTGTATAATTACCTTCTGTTATTAATTAAATATCGTATATTATGAATAATATTGGATAGCACGTTCGAACGTATCGTATGTCCTTTATTGTTTAAGTCTGCTAGTTTCAAATACGTACCTTTATACATTTCCCTAGAAATACAAAAGCGCGCTAAAAAACTTACATTTTTATATGATGACGGCTTAAAATTGCGCAAATGTATGTTATGATCGGAAAAGAAAGACAAAAAAAAAAAAAAAAAAAGGAGAAAAAAAAAGAGAAAAAAAAAAGAAAATATAAAACAAAAAAGAAAAAAATATACTTCGTTATTCTATAGTAATAACAATAATTAACAATAACTATTAAATTTAGCCGTTCAAATTGAACGAGTAAACATTCAAATAAATATACACATCTTGTCATTCAATGAGAAATATAATTGAAAATCGATTATAATATAGAATAATGTAATAACATTAATGTTAATTATTTATCATTATAACGTTAATTATTAATTATAATTAATTATAATTATATCAATAAATCATTGATTTTATTTATAATAATACGAATAAGTTTGAAAATATTTTGTATTTTGTGTATCAGATTTAAATGAATATGTTGAATCACTTGTGAAAGTCATTTTTTTTGTTTTCTTTTGTTTTGTATATAAAACATTTCTAAAAACAATCAAATATCAGATATTTCTACATTATAATCATCCAAATGGTAGAAATTTGTAGTTTAGATAAGAAGTATAATTACATCGAAATAACGAATCAATTTATTGGTTATGTTAGTGTTATATATTGACATATATATATATATATATATATCGACTTTTAAACCAATTCAAAGAACAGATAATATCGTAAATTCAATTACAATTGAATCATATACATATATTGATACAGTATCAAAATTAGAATAAGATTAGATAAGAATTGATAAAAATATAATAACAGTAATACGAAATTCAACTTTTTTTATTTTTCAGCGATTTATAAAAATATATTGATAAAAAACTTGAAATATATAATTTAAAGGAAAATCTAATTATTATATTATTATACACATACATATACACACACACACACGTGCGCGCACACTTGATATAAATTAGAAAAAAGGCATGTTTACGTAAAAAATAAATAAAAATTTTTTTTTACTCATTCGCATAAAAACATTCATATATTATATTTAATGACAGAATGATCGAAATATATATCATACGATTGCGATAAGATAATATAAATATTGGATATACTAGATATTTTTTTCATTAAGCTAATAAATATTATAATTAACATAATATAAAGACAATTTTTTTCTTTTTTTTTTTTTTTTTTATTGGAAAATTATTGTAAATTAGATAAATTTCGATATATATATATATATACATATATGAAAGTAAAAGAGAGGAGATACTTATTAAATTATTTTCTATATATAAAAAATAAAAAATATATATGTAATTGTTTATAAATAAATATTCGTAATTTGTTAGAACAAATACAGCGCTTCTTATTGATGATAATTATCAAAATACAATTATAAAAATTCAAGTAAGAATTATTGTTAATCCCATATGTTTTTGAATAAAAATCAATAATGAAAAAAAAACCATCGATTAGTCGTTTTGTTGAACAACGTTGTTCAACATTCGTTTGAAATTCTTTTCATATAATATTATCTCAAACTATTAAGAATATGGAAGTAAAGTTTTTCTCCTTTCTTTTCCTTTCTTTTTTTTTTCTTTTTTTTTTTTGAAAATAATGAAAGTTCGAAAATTTATTGACATTACAATGACGTTATATGGAGAATAAAAATCAATTTTTATTGTATATTTTGTAATTTCCGCATATTGATAAAAAGTACAAACAGATATGCGTTTTACTTAAAAATATTTTATTTTTCGAAGGATAACATTCGTCGACAATTGATAACCATGAAGAATGCATGAATGCGTACGAAAAATTTTTCGCAAGACAAAAATGCCGACATATGTATCAATCAACAAAGCAACCCCATCACGACCATAGAAAACAGAGTAAACTAATAAGAGACGAAGAATCGGAACCAATGAGATTTAATTATTAATAAAAAAAATTTCCCCTTCCGGAGAATCCTTGCTGGATTTCCTGCGAGTATAAAAAAAAAAAAAGGAAAAAAAAAGAAAAACCCTTGTATCGAAAATATGATTAAAACGTGATTGGATTATCGTGACGTACATTTAATCATTTTCATTTTTTCATTTTTATAAAATCGTCGACTTTATACTGCTCTGATGTATCATTGACTCAGTTTTTTTTTTCTTTTTTTTTTTTTTTTTTTTGGAAATTATTATTATTATATACATATTAATTATTGTCATCGCAATGAATAAAATTTTCTATTATTTGCCTGTGTTATATCCTTCGTGAAAGATTTTTTATCCAACGAAAATAGATTGGGTTTGTTCGTAACCTTACCGACCTCTTCTTACTTTTCTCATCCCTGACTGTAAACGACTTATAACCTAACAGGAATGTAGTTTAAGGGTGAATACTTATCTGTCGTTCCTCGGAACTATACCACCATACAAAAACATCCTCCTATTTGGTCATTCCATCTTTCATTGTTAAATTCTGTGACTGATTCGACCTGTCAGGACGTATCAACTTATTTTTTGACGTTCCCTTATCTCCCCTTATCTAGATATGTATATATTCTACTATAATAAAGTCAATCGAAGCTTTATAAAGGTGGTAGTTCTAATTCGGAGCATTGTTAGTGCGCGACAGTTCGCCGGCAGTAGTTCGTATTCCGCTTCGTTTTAATTTATTCTTCGTAGTTTTTAAATGAGTAATATAGTAAGTCAAGCGTAAATAATAATAATAATAAGAAGAAGAAGAAGAAAAAGAAAAGAAAGAAGATAAAGGAGTATCATAAGTATCCAGATCGTACGATTTAAAATTATAAAAAGAGGAAGAAGAAAAAGAAGAAGAAGAAGAAGAAAAAGAAATAGGAGAAAGAAAAAAAATAGAAAAGCAAAAGGGAAGTAACGAACGGAAAAATCTGTGAAGCACCGCCCTTCGTTGTAAAAGTAATGGCCCCATCAAGCTTCGAGTTGATCCTCGTTGGTTTCATCCTGTTGTTGCCTTTTCTCTATGAAACAAGCCGGACTTTTCGTTATTACTTCAAGTTTATCGTGTATTATGGCATTGTAACTTTCGCCGCCACGATATTGATACCGATTTTTCTTCTACGACCAAGGAGTCTAAAAAATCTCGTGTTAGTATTTATTTTCGTTTATAAAAGACATATATTTTTTATTTTATTTATTTATTTATTTTTCTTTTTTTTTTTTTTTTTTTTTTTCTATGGAAAAATTTATCTCTCGAGTGACATTTGCACTATATCCGATAAATTTAAAATACTAATGGTATTATTATTATTATAATGAGATAAAAAGATTGATTGACATATTTAATGATATTAATTTTCTCGCAATAGTATACATAATAATCTATCATATCGCGTGTAATTTTTATTACAATGAAATAAACAATTTTCATATAAATTCTCAAAGAGATATGACATAAAAGTTAATGACGATAAATTTAATTAATAACATTAGTAGCTCTCGCGTACAAGTTATAAGATACGAGAAAGTATAAAATTAACATTTTTATCATTTGCAAGGAATCGTTAATATTTTATTTAATAATTAACACCATTAATTTATTTTTCAATCTTATAAAGAAATTATTTATTGAATGATTACAATAAAATTGTCATGTGTCAGTTTACTTTCGTATTTATATATATAAGATTTATTAATAATACTTAATATTTAAATCATTAGCATTATTTAGCAAGGAAATAAAAATTATAAGGGACAAGTGATCTATAAAAAAATTTGTATATTACAGATTATCATCATACCTGTGCAATCACATTAGTTTTTTATTGGGATTACGTTGGGAACTTAGAGGAAGAGAACATTTAGATCAAGATGTAGCATGCATTATAGTAGCTAATCATCAAAGTTCCTTAGATCTTTTGGGGATGTTTTATTTATGGCCAATAATGGATAGATGTACAGCAGTTGCTAAAAAAGAAGTCTTTTATGCTTGGCCTTTTGGTCTTGCCGCTTGGCTATCTGGATTAATATTCATAGACAGATTGAATTCAGAAAAAGCCCGTTCTGTTATTAATACAGCCTCTAAGCAATCAAAAGATAAAAAGGTATTAAATCATTGTGCAAATATGCACATAAGAAAAAACACCTAATTTTATAATTCTCTTTGTAGTTTCAATTAAACATTTTTAGATATTTCAGGAGAAAAAGAAAAAAAAAATAAGAATTTTAATTTATTAAATCTTTTTAGTTCAAATTGTGGATATTTCCAGAAGGTACACGCCACAATACTGGAGAAATTCATCCGTTTAAAAAAGGTGCCTTTTATGCTGCAATCAATGCTCAGTTACCTATATTACCAGTAGTATTTTCATCTTATTATTTTTTGTCTAACGATGAGAAGAGATTTGATTCAGGTAATTTATATTGACTTATATAATTAATTTATAAATGGATTATATCTTAAATTACGTCAATATAAAAAATTAATAATTTATTTTTCACTAAGGTCACGTAGTTATAACAACACTACCACTTATATCTACAAAGGGATTAACTAAAGATGATGTAGAATCATTGATGGAAAAAACAAGAAATGTAATGTGCAAAGCCTTTCATGCATCTAGTACAGAAATACAACGTGCACTTCCTTCTTCTAGATCATACATAGAATGATCATTTCTTGAAGATTCAATTGACAGTTTTATTTTGATCGAATTTCTAAATGGAAACCAAAGACATCTATATCCTTTTTGTCTGCATCAAATATTAATCGAATATATTTATTTTCATTATTACATTTATGAACAAACATCGATCATACAAGCATTTCGTCTTAATTCCTGATAAAGGTATTATGTGTTAATTTATTTTTTATTATTTCGTATGGTTTATGTTATACACACGTATATACATAAAGCATATACTTTTTCTATTTTTTCTCATTTGCAAGTTCAGCAAAAAAATTAAATATATATCAAAAGTTAATAATAATTAATTGAAATAAAACTATAAATTTTACAAAATAGTAAAATAAACCAAACATTCTTTTAAATTTAATTGATATAATTTAGTGATATATTTTATAATAGTTATAGAAATATTGATAATTATCAATGGCTTAATAGATTACTTTACAATTTTATTATTAAAAATAAATTGTAAATATATACAAGGTATCTATTAAAATCATGGTATAATCTAAAGAAGGGACTTCTCTTTTAAGAAAAGTCAAAAATATATATAAAAAAACTTTATTGATCTGCAGCTTTGTTTTAAAAAAAGAATTGACTTTAAATATTGGCCTGATATACATACAACATACATATATATATTTATAATTCGCCTAAACTTTGTATTTTTATGTTAATATACAATTAACGAGTTATATATAGAAAGGATTAAAATAAGAGATAAATTTAATAACATCTTAGTTAAATGAAAATATTCTGAGCTAATTTCTAAAAATGATTTTTTCCGCGAATGAAATCTAAATTAAAAAGCTTTATTTTATATTTTCAAGTTACTTTCTTAATTGGAATCATTCTATTCTTGGTTGTACCACAATTTTCAATACATCATATATAACTCGAAAAGCATTTTTTAATTTTGTATTGTTGATTAAGGGTATATATCTCGTTAAGATAACTGCATTATTCTCATTATACACTGCATAATATTTTTATATAATTATTTTACGTTCTTCCATTTTTTATCTATCTAAGTTCCATAAATATACTCTACATTTCTTAATTAAGTATTATTGTTATAAGTTAAGGATAATATACTCATTATTATTTATAAAAAAAAAAAAAGAAAAAAAAAAGAAAAAAAAAACAATTAAAATGGCGCATTTCATGATCTATACATTTTTTTACATGTGAAATTTTATGAACGTCTTTCACTAATCATGAATTATTTTTAAATTATAAAATCACAATCAAATTGCTACACATTTCCCAATAAAAAATAATTTTCTATTTTATATAAGTATAATCATAATATTAAATATGCTTATTGTTTTTGTATTTCTTATAAAAGACATGGTATTATGAGTATAACAAAAAAATTTTATTTGCATAGCATAAGATACTAGTCAATATAAAGTCATCAAATGCACGACAATTTTTTAATATATCAATACTAAAATTTGAATCTGTCCAATGTGTTATTCATATAATTGCTTAAGACTGTGTTCAGTTTTTGTTGCTTCCAATTTGTATCACAAATGAAGACATCGATAAAAAAAAATCATAGATGTACTAGTATATACAATACATTAGTTGTTAAAGAAATATAATTAAAAAAAATTTTTGATATTGGAATGTATACAGGCATCACTATGTTTACTTATTTCAATTTTTACTTATATGCATAACTTGAAATAATATGATTTATTTTATGATTATTATCACATACAGTCACATGTATAAGTGACATTGATTTATTGGGGCCATAAATATTGTGATTATCTATGCCATTTATTTAGTTACTAAGTAAAATATAATATCACATATCTGTTAATAAAATGTCAAATAACATGTCACAGTATCTAGTCTAACACTCGACTATTTTACTATATCTTTATAGGTCAACACAGTTCCAAAATATATAATTGTAAGATTTTTTTATTTGAAGTAATATTAAAATACAATGTGTATGTAATAGAAAGAGAAAAACTTTTTGTCAAGTTGTCTAAATCCATTGGACAGAATTATTGTTTTAACATATTTTGTGAATATTTTACTCCTTAAGAAAAACAAGGTGTATATATTATCTATGAATTTAAAACTATAAGTTTTCCACTTATGCAAACACACGTAGGATATATATACCTAATGGCCATATTAAACTTATAGTTAAATTTGTAGTTAACACTTGCAAGAATAGATACTAAATGTACTGAGAGAGAGGGGGGGGGGAGAGGAAGCTATTAAGTAATTGGTTGTCAATAAATATTATGTATTTTATATTGTTGTATCAATGAACACTTTGAAAAAAAATAAGTTTCTAATTTAAATGATAATTATCAATTTATTATTAATGCTACTTTGCATTAATATTTTAAAGGTTACTAAATTTAAAAAGAAAAGATTGTTTAACTATTAAATGTCAATATATTGTATCAAAGTTCATAAATTATTATTTTATATACATATTCCTACTTCCATAGACACACTGGATATTAAAATATGTACTATTAACATACTGTTTACAAAATTATTAGAGGAACAAACAACAATATTAAGTGCTTTTATATTTGGGATGCATTTGGAAAAAGGAAAAAAAAGTAGATGATCATTTTATAACTACGTGAATTATTTGAGAATCTCTTTTGTATTTTATACAAGTAAGATTAATAATACAATAAGGTTAAAACTGTAAATTATAACAATGGCTTGTCATGAATGAAGAAGAAAAATAAATCGAAATGTATATCAAACATTTTTAATGTTTTATTACTTATATGATATTACATGTCACAATTATATGAACTGACAATTACATCTTCTGTAAATATAATAATTAAAAAAATGTGGTAATGCGTGGACACATACAAATAATTTTGTAATAAGAGAAAATGTTTTATAAATATTGAAATATGAATAGACAAATGTATTTGTAGTCCACTTGTTATTATGACAAACTTAGAATTAAGGAACTTTATTTTGACTATGCACTATATAAGTAGATACTTTTAACATGTTTAGGCCTAAATTCATTTTCTAAATGAATTTTTATGATGTTACAAGGAAACGTAAAGTACGTTTAATAAAATATTGGCTTACAATTAATAGTCAAAACCTGACAGACCTGCTGCAGTTTTTTGTTGGTTTTCAGTCCATGCTTTTGCTATTGTTTTCTTTATTTCATCATCTCCATCTTGATACATTTTTTTCATTAGATTCACTAAACTTGCACCAGGATCATCTCCCATTTCAGGAACAGATGGAGTTTTTGCTTCTTTTATTCTTTTTTCAATGCCTGTTACATGCGACCAATTCTTCGGTAATTTTTTAGCAAGATATACAATGATCATATCTGTCTTTATTTTTACGTAACTCTTCTCTGTGTCAATGTCTTCACATAAATTATTGATCGGCAAGTGATAATTTTTATTATCCAAACCAAAAATATACAGGTCCATTGATTTTTCTGTATATTTACAGGTAACATCTTTGTTTGGTAAAATATGTACATTCTTTAATTGAACGTATATCTTGACAACACTATTCGTTTGATCCCACCCATAATTATTTAACTTAACTTCATAACATTTAGGAGTAGAATCAATTGGCGAATTTACAGATTTAAGATACACATCCTTATTTTCATCGATCAGTTTAGCTAATTCTGTCTGCAATCGCCTAATCTCCAAAGTAAGCATATCTTTAACTTTGGATCGTGTAGCTTGTTGTAATAATGTATTCAATTCTTCAATATCCAGTTTTAACTATAAAAGGAAACTTGTACTTATAGATACTTATCTGTCAGTACTTTATTTTCTTTAATAAATAGTTCAAAAAAAAAGAAAAAATATCTTCCCTTTTAAATATTTAAGATGAAATATGTATATTCGAATGAGTCTCCACTAAATATGGATATAAAATCATATTTAAAAAAATATTTTATTTATTATATTGAATCGTTAAAAATGGTTAAATATATGCTATAAACAAAAATATAGAGGAAAATTATAAGTATAGAACTTACCTCATCACTTTTCGTAGCCATAATATTAAATTTTATCGTTTACGAAAATTTCTTTGTAAAAATTTTGTTCAAATTCAATTAAATACAATATTATAATAATAATAAAGCAAGAGTATTCACAATTTTTTAATGCTGAATGCTCGTAAAACGTTCTTTAATTTGAGCAAACAATGCGCAATAAAACGACACGTTTAGACTCGTTCGACTAAGCTAATCGCTTGCTCGCGCGGTTATCTAAACTCCTATATACATACATATAGTGATAGAAACTTCTGGATTTCTCTAGAATAAAAAATAGTCTATGATTATATTTTCGAAATTTCTAACGATATGATTTAACGTAAAGAGAGACATAATAAATCAATTATTAATTATTTAATTTGAATTTGTAAAAATGAATAATTTTTTTTTTTGTTAAATTTACCAGCATCATTGTCAATAATTTATTTTCTTGTACTATATTGTAACGAACAAAATTGAAGCAACCTTAATAATCGATATGTGTGTATTGTTTATAAAATAAGATTTATATATTGTTCAATTAATAAATATTGTCACAGATTGTAGATATTGTTTCGTAATTTATAAAAGTCGTTATTTTTATTTCTTTTTTATTATTTAAAAAAAAAATACGTTAGCTCCAGTTGGCTTTACTAAGACTCGGCATGCTATAACGTTCTTTGATTGGTCCGTTAGAAATCCAGTAATCCTTTGTTAGAATAAATTAGCGGATAAAATTGTTCAAGTATTAAAAATACAATGGATAATTCTATTGTACCAGATATATTAAATTTGGATACGGAAGAATTGTCCGATAAAGTTACTTGTAAACGAAGATCCTTGGTTTTTCAATCACGAACTTCAAAATTATTTACTGACGAAGGTTAGTTAACCTCAAAGTATGGATATTCTGTGTTTAAATAAGTAAATAATAATTTCTCCTAAAAGGTTTAAATTCTTTCTCATAGAAACAGATCAAGCGAGAAATCTTGAAAATGAAGATTTTTTAGAGATCAATAAAAGTAAACGACAATGTGTAGAGGATGTAACGAAGAAAGAAAATTTTGATTTGCAAAAATATATAAATGACCTTAGACAAGAAAGAAAATTATGGCAATCAACGTTAAAAGAACGTAAATCAAAAAGACGAATTCTTTCAAAACAAAAATCTGTTCTAGAAGAGCAAGGACAGAATTTAGATACTAAAGCATTATCTGATTCCGAAAGATCTTTTCTTTCAGCTTCCCCTAATTACGAATATATTTGTGAAAACAGTCAGAAATTATCAGATATGGCTCTTAAAATAATCTTATTAAATGAATTAGTATTTAAGTTAAATGAAAGGTTTATGTTAAGAATGAAAGAGAAGTTGAATAAGACTACGAAGAAAATTATTGAAATGTCAGGATAACAAATGTTTTAATCTAAACATTATTAGAGAGTTTTACTTATGTAAATAGCAATATTTGTATATAAATAAGATAAAACATTATGTATATAATCATATTTTACATTGTTTTATAATAGTTAAGATAAGTAGAGTATATTATTTTAAGTTTTTTTACCGATGTACTTTTTTTTTGTCATACCTTAATACTGTTAAAAGTACAATTTTGCATATGTATTATGATTTATAGTGTTTTACACAATATATCAATATACATATGAAATATAAAATGCTTGAGGGAAAACAATTTCTACTAATGAATAATTAATTCCGAATATTTAAAATAGTATAAACAATGTCTTTGGTAGAAAGCTTTTCTAAATGTCATCACTATGATGACAGAATTGTAACTTATTTTTACATTATCTGAATTTTTTACATTTTGTATAATATAGCGTGCATTTTAATATTTTAGATAATGTAAAATTGAACATAGTAACCAATAGAGTTGTCATCTATGCAAATGAAAACTTTTCCTTCTTGCTGCCTTTCTTTCCTTTTGGGCCAGGTATTCTTTTCTTGATGTACTACTATGTAATTCTAAAATGTGATTTATTTTTCTTACAATTTCTTCTGCTGTCATTGAATCTGCTTCAAAATCATGATTTTTAAATGATGCTGACTGATGAAGAGAATGCGTTTGACTGGATGATGCTATAAAAAATTAATAATTAATAATTAAACTAATATAACAAAATACATATATACATACATATATATATATATATATATATATATATATATATATATATATATTTCTTGTTATATTAGTGATATTGAGGTAAAAAATATGTACCACTTAAACTGTCTAGAGTAGAAGAATGTGGAGTATAAACCAATGTAAATATTGTTTTTGATCCTTTGTTTTCAGTTATTTCACACCACGCAATGTTATCTATATGATAACTAACTGCCCGTTGTCTATTCCAGAATCGGCTGGCACCTTTTCCCGTTATCACTGGATCAATCTCAATCTTCTCACCCGATATTCCAAGGTGAATTTCAGTCTTTGCTCTCACTTTATTTATTATGTATACTCTGTTCATAAACATAAATATGTAATATATTTATCATTTAGATATTCTTCAAATGCCATATGATAATAGAAATGCACCTATATGATTGATACAATGGAGCTTCCATTGCTGTTGTATGACCTTCCATCTTGGCTAAATCTTTTGCTACTTCTTCTTGTTCTTTGTTATTGCCTTCCAATTCTTCATTGACTTCTGTTTCAATATGTTTTATCGTATTATGTCGTGCTCTATCACTTGGTTTCATTTCAACAAGACCTAATGTTGTGAATTCAAATTTGGATATTATTTCTCTTGGATCTAAACAAGGAAAGTCCCAATCTACCTCTCCATCATCTTCAGTAATATATAAACCATATTTTGTAATATCTTCCCTGTTGACAAAAAAAAAAAAGAAAAAAAAAAAAAAAAAAAAAAAAAGACAAGTTACAATGCTTGTAAATATATATAAAGCTTATAATATATTATATAACTTCCATACTTTAAACTATGGTTAGGATGTTCACTTGCATATTTATAACATATGAGCCCAATAAATTCCAATACTTTTGCTGCAGCAATAACAACAATTTGCAAAGGATAAGTTCTTTCTTCCTTAGGTAACATACACATAAAGATTCTATATTTTCTAATAGGAATACCAACTTGTGCCTGAAACAATTTCAAATATATAAATCCATATTACACAATTAATAAAATAATGATAATTAATACTTCATACATTGCCATCAAATTTTGCATATTCTGTAAAAGGATTTTGAGGTAAATTGGGACATTTTTCTATTTGTTCGGATAAAAGGGAAAGCCTTTTGCTTGTAGTCGTATTTTTTTTACGGAAGTCCTTTCTTTGAAATAATTTTGATTGTTCGGCAAGTGAAAGAAGATTCGGTTTGTGCTCCCATTTTACATGCTTTATTTTAGCTGCTTTCTTTCTCTCTAAGTCCATTTTTTCTAATCTTTGAGCTGTATTAGAACGTTGTCTATGACTAAATTCCATATCTGTCGGAATAATACAATATATAATTTAATAATTGTATTTTTGTATGTACAAGATTGTCTATCAGTTAAGAAACAAATATTATACCCATTTGTATGTCATATGATTCAGCTAATGCATCCAGATCTTCATCGTCGCTTTCTTCCATTCCAGGATAACATTGTAATGTTCCATTCGACCTAAGTTCTTTCGGTATATCTTCACCTAACATAACCATCTCACACATACCTTTAGAACGAAAAATAATATATGATTTTAAGATATACACAAAGTATTAGTCAATAAAAAGCTATTTATATTTAGAAAAAATATATATACATATTTAATATATATTTAATATATATATTATGATATAAATGCATATTAGGTTATAACACGACTATAAAGTAGCGGAGCGTATAAAATAGAAGAGTGTATATTTGCAGAAAATGATATTAAAATATATTCAATACAACGATATAAAAAATATTTACCTGTGTCATCTGTGGACAAAAAACTATCTCTTATATGAGATAATAGCCAATGTTGGTTATCATATAAGGCCATCTTTTTTTTTTATATATTTAAATGTCTTCATAAAATAATTTTTTTATTTTAACAAAAAATTATAATTTTAAATGTCGGCAACATAGATGATTTTTATTTTTAATTATTGGCTTGAAACAATTCATGACAAGTCAAAGTCATAAGCTTTGCCAGATCTTATATACTCAACGCTACCTTAGAATCGTTAAACTTTAAGGTTACATTTTCAAGTCCAACACGACTAGCGCCATCTATGAATTACAAAAATAAATTAGTAACAGTAAATTACTACTAGTAGGTAATATGTATCATTATTATTATTATTATTATTATTATTATTATTATTATTATTATTATTATTATTATTATTATTATTATAAATTATTATTATTTTTTGATTTATTGACGAATTATTTCCTTTATCATATTTTTATTCGTGATATAATATCAAGAGATTTCTTAAACAAATTTGCATATTTAATTTACAGAAAAACTTTTAATTAATGGTAAAGTCGTGTAATCGATTATTTATGAAATAAACATGAAAGATTCATTAATAATTATTAAATAATTTACAAAGTCATAAATCTCGTCAAATGTAGTACAAACGAAGAGAAAAGTTTTGATAAAAAGTAAGTCGTTTTTCTCGTTAAGAAAAAGCATGTCACTATATCGTGCGGGCAAATAAACCGGCGCCAAATTAAACGGAGGGTTATTACCTTCGTTTACTCTTTCTCTCTTCAAATATTATCGAGTACTTTTTCTATTTCTCTCTTTTTCTTTCTCTTTCTCTCTCTCTCTCTCTCTCTCTCTCTTTTTTCTCTATCTATCTCTATCTTACTATCTACCACATCATGAAGGGGAAGGCTGCAACCAAGAACTGAAAAGCGATGACTAAGGGTATTCTTGATTTTGGGCTCTTTGCCAAAACGAAAAGATACGTGAGAGTATATATTCGTACATAGATGTCGTTCATAGATACGTACATAGACGTACTAAAAGGAAAAAAGAAAAAAAGAAAAAAAATATTAGGGAAGATGACACGAACGAAGGATCAGCGATTAAGTGAGAAAATGAAAATTAGAAAAATTTTAACTGGCGAACATAAAACTGTAAATTAAATCGAAGAATTCTTTGTGTATTGTGATTGTTTCGCCAATGTGAATATTTGATTAATTGATGGACAAATAAAAAGACGAGTTGAAGATAGATTTATTTTAATATTCTTTAGAAATCAATTATAGATCGGAGAACTTTTAAGCTCTTAGAAAAGAACTACTTCGGTATTATTAATCTCTTGTTTGATTTTCAATATCAATCTTAGCTTGCTTTAAAGCTTTCTTTAAAAAGTGTCTAAGGAATCGGATTATTTTTTTTCTTTTTTTTTTTTTTTTTTTTTTTTTTCATAACTTTTATTTATTTTATTTATTTATTTATTTTTTTTTTTTTTTTTTTTTTTTTTGATAAGAAATTTATTTATTTTAACAAATAGACGAAAGGAGTATTGAAAAATTATCAATGATTCTTAAATAAAGAATGATATCATCTTTTTGAATGTATTCATAAAGAGAATAAGATGTATGTATAAATGATAAGAGCGATGAGTATAAATGATTGTGAATAAGATATGTATACGCGTTTCTAAGGGAAAAGGTTCGCGCACTATATTTCTACTTCACGTTCCTCCTCCAAGTCTTATATTTGTGAGTGGGCTTTCCTGAAAAGCTGCTTTCTAAAATATGAATTACGTTTTACAAATCTCTTCATACCTCTTCATAAGATATGAATTACATTTAACAAATTTCTTCGTGTACCGTTCTATATATCCATTTCTGTTATTTTTACATGAGATACATTTTCTTATTATTAGATCACTTTAAAACTTATACGCGTACGCATATATTCTATATGCGATAGCATATTGCATAAATATAAATCATATCTAGTAGAAATATAATTTCATAATAAAAAAATTTATGTGTTCTCTTCTCACTTTTCTGTCTTTCTCTTTTAAAACTTTCTGAAAGTTCTTATCGTCCTCGCCAAATCTTCTCGATTCAGTGAGTGCGTGCACGCGTGCTATGTTGTGTGTATATATATATATGTATGTATATATACATAATAGAAGTGCAACAATAATAGACGAGTTATACGTGGCATACAAACGATAACGATCTATTCTCACGAGGAAAGGATGACGGCGTAAGTTTTTTATGATTTTTAATATTTTTCACCCTCGCATAAGATCGCAGACTACATTTAATATCAACAAATACAAACGACCCTACTTTGACATTTATCGATCCAGTCTTCTTTCGCATTTCGATAAGGAAACATCGGAGTTCTCTCTCCTTACAAACGTCTAAAATCAAACAATTAATACTTCCGATTATTTTATAATTATTTAAATGACATATAATATAAATGAAATATAATAAACTAATATCGATATTATATAAGCTTTTTATTAATTCTTATTTACGATTTTCTATTTAAATATCACATTTTCGATTGTACTTACGCTCGCCATCATATCCATGTATTTCTTATTTATTCTTATTTATTTTATTAATTATTATTAATTCTTATTTATTCTTATTTATTCTTATTTATAAAATTTGGATATTCGCCTATTATACTTTCCTTCAATAAGAAAAAATCGAGCTCGATTTCGGTAATTTGATTTTGTTAACTAACTCGATTGTTAGGTTATGTGTGAGAATGTTATAACCTAACAATCTTATATCAATACAATAGGAATATAGTGGAAATAATATTTTCCTATTTAACTTGCAGTTCACATTTTATCTAAATCTGTCGTTGAAGTCGCATATATTACGAGCAGAAAGTGATGAAGAATAAGTTTATGAGAAAGAAGTTACTTTGAAAAGTTTAATTTTTTCCTGCATTCTGATTGGTTCTGAAATTCGCGCCTATACGAATTCCTTTTCTATGGCAATTATATAGGTGATTGCGCAGTATCGTTTCTACCTTCGTTACAATCAACGTTTTACGAGCATTGACAGGAATTAACAATCAATTATCTTATTTTTATAAGTCCTATCAAGATTAATATAAATATTTTAGTGTTCTATTATCATAATTAAATAAGAATTAATCGTTTGTATAATTGTGATTATTACGTACATATAATAAGTTGTGTTTATCTCCTCGTTATGCAAAGGTAACCTGGTGCGTAATATATTTTTTCAACATTTAATTTTAATAATCATGCTTTGGAAAATGTTACGATATTTTTATATTTAAAATATATGCATTATTGTTATAAGATTGCATCCTAAAAAACAAAGGATATATAATCTTGAGAGTAAGAAAAATTCAAAAAAAGATTTGAAATTTTCTTCGATCTTGATTGGTTCTTATAATACCGCCACTAAAGTCTTTCGTTGATTCAGTATTATAAAATTCACTTTTACATAATATCACGTATTTATATTAAAATTATTATGCTAATGTGCCAAACAGATAAATTTAATATATATTCAATATATATTCAATATATATATATATATATATATATAAAATTTAAGTTTAATAATTTGAATTTGAAATATTATAACACATATTTTTTTGGAATATAATTGAAATTACTATATCCAAAGATAATCTACGAGAAACGTATATTACTATATTTACTTGTTTTTTTGTATTATCATTTATTTCTTCATCTTTTTATCAGATTATTAATGACTGCGAGCAAGGCAGTCTTAGATTTAGTATTTGCTCACAATTATTGTTTATTTATACTTATATATTTTATCCAATTTAAAACTTTTATAATTCAGTGACTAACTAATTAAATATATTAGTTATTAAAATTATGTGATGTAAAGTCAGTGTTTGATCATTTATTGCAATCAAGATTTCTCAGATATAGAATTACATAGTTTAATTTATTGTTTAATATTTTGTAACGCGTTATTAGATTCAGTGTATATAAGTTTTGATTAACGATGTTAATTCTGTTACCTTGTATTTGTTCCAACGTATTTTGTTATCAACGTAATACAATTTCAACCCATCTTTCTATCTCGAATGATGATATATTGGAGCCATCGCAGAACTTCATAAGTAGTAAGTCCAAAAATCAGAACCATTATAGTTATTTATCTTTAAGTTACTTTATTTTATCTTTTCATTATAATTTTTTCTCTTTATTATCTTTGCATGTCTATCTTTGTCTTTGTTTTTATTCTTTCTTCATGATAATAACAATCTACGCTAAGCAATTCACAATTTAGTGCATTGTATTTTAGACTTTACTTAAATATCAAACATTTAAAGCTTTTCAATTTTTAGAATTTAATTTTAATAAATAATACGTTTATAAATTTACATTAAATATCTGCTATCTTATTTAATCAGAGACAAGATAGTTCATAAGAAATATATTTGTTAAAAATCAAGTGTAATATTATTACATGCGTGTAACATTATTAAGTATATATAGATATTTTTTGTCAATTACTAATTACTCATAAAAAGATAATAGTTTATTCATTAATGTCTTTAATTTATAATTTTTAATTTATAATTAAATATGTTATTCAAATGAAAAATTCTATAAGATAGATTTATATAATGATAAAAATAAGCCTGTATCAGAAAGATATTAGAATTATTAAAATAAGTATAAATATTTAAAAAGAAATTATTTTTTGAATCAAATTATTGCTCATGTTTTTTTTTCTTTTTCTTTTTTTTTTTTTTTTTTTATACATAATATACATTATATCGAATATTTTAAATGTTACTAATTATCTATATGGTGAAATTTTTGATAAACCATTAAAATTTTTATTTGAAAATTTATCTAACGCATTAAGATCTTTATTTATTGATAAAGAAGATAGAAAATCACAAAGAAGGAATAAGAGAAAGGGAGAAGAGAATACGTCCTATATATGTGTGTTTTAGAACGATAGATATCCTCCTACTGTGAAATGAATTATAATTGTGTTCAATCCATCGACTGACCTTTCTAGATAATAAACGACTATCTAGAATGCATGAAGATTCATTTCAACTGGTCGTAGATCTTTTTGACGATTTACTGACAAACTATCCGACGTTCAACTACTTGATATTATTGTCCAAGATTGAAATAGGATCATGTTCATCTTTGATATTCTCTTTCATTGTCATTACTACGTTTTTATTATTTTCACGTATGGGCATTTAGATATTTTACAAATCTTTCATTTTGTATAAATAAATAAATCCTTTGTAAAACATTTATTCTATAATATTGCTCGACGGCGATTCTTTTATCGTATTTATTTTTTTTCTTTTTTATTTTTTCTTCTCTTCCACGCTCCGATTTTTCACCGGGATCGTTTTCTACTTTACGTTACTCTTCTTTATGTATCTCCTTTTTTCTGAAACGTTAAACTCGATGAAGCTCGTTTACATTCAAGGTAACTCCAGTATGCCACTTTTTCGCGCACTTTCCGCCACTTATTCCACACAGACTTTTTTTTCCCCTTCGTATTACGCGTTTATACAATCCACTTCGTTTTATTCTTCTTTTTTCTTTACTTTTTCCTTTTTTTTTGTTAATTTCTTTCTTTTTTTCTTTCTTTCTTTCTTTCTTTTTCTTTCTTTTTTTTTTTTTTTTTTTTTTTTTTTTTATATATTTACCATCGAATACGCGTCTCTTTCTCAAAATCTGTGATTGCATGTGGTTTCATTGTCTGCTGTGATTTCACAGTAGATTGCACTGTCGTTAGATTAGAATTTAGCATACTAATCGACTCTTTCTACTTATCTTCCTTTTTTATCTTTGAGAACATTCCTTTGCCACATCTTTTCTTTTCTTTTCTTTCCTTTTTCTTTTTCTCTTCCTCTCTCTCTTTCTCTCTCTCTCTCTCTTTCTCTCTCTTTTTTTTTTTATTTCTTTCCTTCCATTCTGCATCGCTTTTTTCTCATTAATTTATGGCCTTTTTATGGCCATTATTACTCTCCTCCATCTTTCGCGTGATCTTTCCATTCTCTTCGGTTACCCTTAAAAATGTCATAATTAGATATCAGAGTTGATAAATCTAGAATAGAATATATCACAGCTTTTTCTTTTCCATTCTCATCTTGTATGAAGATATCGTAATTGAATAATCATCTTTAAATGAGCGCTCATGGTAGATTGCCAAGCAAAAGTATGTACGAAAAAGGAAACAACAGAGATTAAATATTCGCCGGTATCGAAGTTTAAGACTTTTGATATGTTTCTTTCGTTTACTTTTGTCCACGGACTTCTTTACTTCAGTCATATTTCATTCGTTAATTAAAAGATCCTGTTATCTTATTTCTCTTTTATGTTTACGACGAACGTTAAGTATCTACGTATACCAGTTTTGCATTCCTTTCCACGAATTTAAGTTGTTTTCTTGTTTTTTTTTTTCTCTTGTCTAATTTTCTTACTATATATATATATATATATTTTTTTTTCTTTCGAATTGTTTATGCTTTTCTATTTTCCACGCAACGTTTCCCTTTTAAACATGCACAATATAGAAGTATTCTTTTTCTACGTTTGTTTTCCTCATTTTCCTGGCATTGTTCCCTCAAACACTCCCTCTCCCTTTGTGAAAACGTAACTCGTACGCTAATTAACGATCTCGTTATCTTCGCGAGTGATTGAGCACGCGGAGAATCCTTCGCATCAATTTCATATAACGCGATCTGTGCATGAGAAACATTATTTTTCGTTCCTTCCTTCCTTCCTTCCTTCCTTCCTTCCTTTCTTCCTTCCTTCCTTCCTTGCTTCCATCCATCCTTATTTTGTCCCTTCGTTTTCTTCGCTTTCTTGGCCTTTCGTATTTATAATTCTTATTGTTGTCCATCGTACGATCGGAGAAGAATAATTGCTTCGTATTTCTATATATTCGAATATTTATTTTGCGAGCAAAAAAAATGAGGAAGGAAGTGCAATTAAAAAAAAAAAAAGAAAAAGAAAAAAAGAGGAATTTTCTTTTTTCTTTTTCTTTTTTTTAAATTCCTTTACTTATTTTATTATCTATCAGTGTTTCAAAGAGTAAATCAATTTCAATTGTATTTCATTTAAAAATTAAAGATTTCGTTGATCGATATATTTGATATCGATATTATTTGATATGTAATCTCATCGAATAGAGACCCAATAGATTCGAAACTAAATAAAAAGCGACATCATTTTGAAGCATAGCAGCGGCTCAAACGGTACTGCAGCTTTGGATCTGCAACGTACGTTGAAGATGCGGTACGGCCCGTTTGAATCGTGCATGCGCAAAATATTAGTGCACATGCGCAATCTACCTATCTTATATCTATAAGGGTAGCTACCCTCATCGAGGTCGGACAGTTCTTGCCCGTCCAGGGTCGGCTCGTGATCGGGAAGTAATCGTTCCTTTTGTGATCTGCATCGAGAGGCTGCGCACACATAGTTTCCTTCTCTCACGTTTTCTTCGATGACGCGTCATAACACAAAGGCACGACTACCTGTCGTGATGGCGAATACGCGGGAATAGCCTAGAGAGGCGAGGCTTTATTCTAAAAATAAAAATAAAAATAAAAAAAAAAAAAAGAAAAAAAAAGAGAGAAAAAAACGAAAACAAGAAAGAAAAAGATAAAAAAGAAAAAGAAAAGGACAAAAGAAATAAAAAAGTAAAAATCTAAAAAAAAAAGGAGGAAAAAGAAAAAGAAAGAAGAAAAGGAAAAAGAAAGAAGAAAGGAAATAAATGAACAAATAAATTGATAGCACTTACTACAAATGCAAAAGAGATATTTATCTACGAATGAAAGTGTCTAAAACACGCGAGAGGAACGATCTTATCGAGTAAGAGAATCGACAACATTTCAATTTGCCCTTAACATATTTTAAAAGCCTCTTCTCGGTGAGAAAGCAATGACATTGACTTATTTTTCAAAGTGATCAATTAATTTCCCGTTCGTTTGTTATAACAGATTTGAAAATTAATTTATCGTGAACATTGTGAAAGGGGGACTTTGCTAATTAATTAGATCGATATTTGTTGATAATGAGGCATGATGTATAATTAATATATGTTTATCTTCGGTACCCTTCTAGTTCAATTTAATTTAAAATCCAATCGCATTGTTTCTGGCCATTGCCAATAACGATTGTTACATTCAAATTTATTAACTTTATTAAACCGGTAATTATTTGATGTCATGTATGGAAATAGTAGTACTAGATCGACAATTTAATATCGACCCTTACCAATAGTAACATGTAGAAGTTTATAGGAATTTTTAACATGTGTGTTCGTATGTATATATATCTATGTGTATATTTATATATATGTACATAGTAAACACAGTTAGAAGGGTATTATATTCTCCACTGGATTATTGGACTTTTTGTACAGTGACTGCACGAAAGGATCCCACTTAAAATTAGTCTTTGGAAAAGGAAATACTTATAAATTAGCAAACATCTCTTTAGAGTGGATCGAGGATTCGTCAGAGTAGAACTCTTCTCAAGGCTCGTATATCGTAACGATCGTATATTTACTTTAATTAACGAGTTCTAACTTATTCGCGTGTTGATTCATACAAATTAATGAGAATCGGTAGATTTTACAATTTCGATATCCGCTCTTTAGTATATATTATAATTTTAAGAAAACTCGCTGTGCTTAAGAAACTTTAATGTAAAATATATTCGAACATATCCAACGCTAAGCTTCTTTGGTACGCTTTCACAGTTAGCTAACTCTTTGATCGTCGTTTCTTCTTGCATGAGTTAAGTTCTTTTAGTGTATAAACCGTGCTTTCTTTTTTCTTTTTTCTTTTTTCCCCTCTTTCTTTTCTCTTCTTTTCTTCTTTCCTTCTTTTTGCAAACTTCCAAAGGGGGAGAAACTTTTTTCCGAAGATTCGATGAAGATTTTTTTCGCACCTTTCAACGAAAATCCGAAAGAAAGAAAAAAAAAGGAGAGAAAGGAAAGAGGAGGGGAGAAGGAGGGGGAGGGGAGCGAATAAAGAACCCATCTTAAAATTTTCACTCGACGCAACTAAGATATGTTTTATTATATAATATAAATGTAAGACGAAAATTACAGGACCCGGATATTACACTTTTCAGAAATCGAAATAATGAGACGACGGAGAACGGATTAGAAAATGATTAAGCACAATAGCGGGTAGGTTCGTTGACGCGTCCATCGCGCGAACGAACCTTTAATCCCAGTTACGAGTAAAGTGGGTCGAATCTTTGGAAGGTTGGAAATTAGAATAGGTTTCTCTATGCATTATCCATGTAGAAAGATCGATATCAGAATTGTTAGGTAATTACTGTAGTGCGCTGGATATAATCCCAAAATCGATTACAGACGAAGATCGAGAAATGAAGTTACTATGTTAAGATTAAATTTCGATCGATTTCTATAATTTCACGAATTATTCGTGTTAATCAAATATTTCTTCTGACAGTTGATGTGATTTTTCTTTCCCTTTTTTTTTTTTTTTTTTTTGTTTCATTTCTTTGTTTTATTCTTTTACTTTCTTTTTCATTTCTATATTCAATAACGAACGAACGAGCAAAAAAAAAAAAAAGAAAGAAATATGTATATATATATTTGTATATTACTTTCGTTGAGATTTTTGAAAGGAATAAAAGGGGGAGGAGGCTTTTGGACTAGTCGAAATAGAAAATTCAATAAAATATTGAAAGAAAAAAGAAAGATAAAAAAAAAAAAAAGAAGAAGAAAATGGAAGAGGAATTTAATTTTTTGTTTTCAGAATAAAAGGATATGAAATGCGATGATCTTACGAGGTTTTTTTTATGCTATCGTTGAAGTATAATCACTCGTAAACAAGAGGGCGATTAAAGGGCACCAAAAGATTTCATAGGTAGAGGACGAAGGAAGGATTATTGAGACGCGATAAAATAAAGGAAATGGGGGTACCTGATGTGGAACAGGCGAAGCGTCGGCTGCAAGATATCTTAAGGAAAGCTCAAAAGCTGGAAATACCAACACAAGAGGTTATATCTACAAGGACTGCACAGAAGCTATTAGCAAGAACGAAGAATGTTGTTGCGTGGACGATCTGGATCGGTGTTTTCATTATCCTCCTCAGTGGCGTCGTTTACGCACGTTGGCCAACAAGACAGGAAGTCGAGACTGTCAGGACTGTACTTAGGCGAACAGTAAGTGATTAAAAAAATAAGAAAAAAAAAAAAAAAAGAAAAAAAAAAAAGAAAAGAAAGAAAAAGAAAATAAAAAAAGAAAAGAAAAAAAAGTATTCAATTAACAAAGTTATTATTATCGTTAAACGTGAAACATTATCCTTCGTCAAACGTTTTCTCTAATTATACGGAGTTTTACGGAGTTGATAAAGATAAGTGGTCTTTGTTATTTCGTAGATAAGGTTTCGTGCAATATAAGGTGTGAATGAGATTGAACGTAATACTGTTTTTTTTTTTTCATGCGACTTTATTTTATTATACTTTAGAAACGTATGTATATACGTATTTACATTTATGTTTGTAGGGAAATTATTATTATTATTATTATTATTATTATTATTATTATTATTATTATTATTATTATTATTATTATTATTATTATTATTATTATCATTATTATTATTATTCAATGTTTATTTCTATGTTGTTCGAAACAGAGAGGAAAGAGGAACGCATTAAACGGGACAAGTGTGTTTCGTGTTCCTATAGAATAGGCTTCTTGTATGGACTATAGAGTGACGAAATCGAGCGTCAAATCGGCGGCCTGGTTGGCTTCCAGTTCGACCTAGACCGTGCGCTTCAGGCAAAGTGATTCGACACACGATCCCCGTAAGGATAACTTTATCGAAGCAATAAGATTTTCTTTTTTGGAGCGTTTCACATATCTTGCGATGGGTACTGCGTAGAGCGTACGATTTGATATCGATCCCAACACCATGACCGTTCTTCCATTAAATTTTTTTTTTCTCTCCTTCTCTTAGACTTTCCTCGAAGAAATTTTCATTCGAATAAAACGAACGAATTTCATTTTTCTCCTCTTGTTCGTTCATACATACACGCGCGCGTACGCGCGCACACATACAAAGACAATAAAGTTACCAGCTGACGT